CTCCTTTCATTTCCCATTGGAAGCCACAAAGCCTATACAACAGGAATGGAATGTGGGCACAAGCAGGAAGTTAAGAAAAAGTGCCAGCACTTCAAGCTCAACGAGGAGACCTCCATGACTCCAAAGGCCTAGCCTGAAACCCAGGTCAAAGTGATACCGTCCACAGCTGAGGTCAGAGACTACACCATCAGAGAAAAACACAAAATTTCGGAGTCTTTGCTCAGTTCTGAGACCTGACCCTCCACCAATGTTTACAAATGCTTTGAATTAATTCGTGAAGACTGAAGGCTATGGACCACTCATGTCCCTCCCTAGCCCTCTTTTGATGAGCAAATTAGTGGAGAAAGGAAACTAGAGCCCCCTGCCCTGGAATACAATAGTAATTGTCTTCAGGAGAAAACAGGAAGTTAGGATCATGCATGTATTTCTTCTAAAACCTAAGTCACTCCAACTAATTATAAAAGTATCCACAAGGGCCCTTCTAGGAGTCATTCCTGCCGTGAACCAGATCTTAGACTGGATTCTAAAAGCTGGAGCAGTAGGTCCCATCTCTGGGGCCTAGCTCTGTCCTTGGGTTGAACCCTGCCCACAGCTCTGCAGGGTTACCTCCCACAACCACCTGTATTTTTTTTTTTGTCCTAAATGCAGCTAAAGGGCCTTTGCCTGGATAGGCTGCCAGCCCTTTCCACTCCTTCCTACTCTCCTGGAGTGAATGCACCCATCCATCTGGAAAACTCAACAGCAAGTGAGAATAAGAGACAGCCCCAGCTGCATGTCCCCTCTGGTTTCCTGAAAGACAGCCTGAGTGTGTACAGTTCTAAAGTCATTTTCAAGGTTCTTTCCTCTATCCCTAACAACCCCTTCTGGGCAAATAGAGCTTCATTAATCATTGATGGACTCAAGGAGAGCTGTGATCAACGCTGCACTCTATTTCCTGCCCCACCCTCCCAGCTCCGGGAAAATCAAGCTTCAACATTTGTCTAGGAGAGGGATAAACATTTTCTCCTGTGAACAGTATGCTTAGAGCCACTTCTTCATGCCTTGGACATAATCAATATTTAAACTACGTGAAAGAAATCTGACTAGAACAGGCCAAGGTTTCCTAACCTTGGCACTGTTGACACTTTGGGCCCGATTATTCTTTGGGGGTGGGGAGTGTCCTGGGCGTTGTAGGCCTTTCAGCAGCATTCCTGGCCTCTATCTACCCTCTAGGTCACAACCAAAAAGGTCTCCAGACCTTGTCAAGTGTCCTCAGGGGAGGGTGGGAGCAGTCACCCCTAGTTTAGATCCCCTGGAAGAGGCCCCTTTAACTGTTGTATTGTGAGATTGAAAGCTTGGTTAGTCCCACCCCTGTGGGCCTAGCTTTAATGCTTTAAGACTTAAATCTGTGTGAATGTTTTCTAAAGCAAACCCAATTTTGAAGACCAGCTGGCTGTTCAGTCCTATTAAGCAAATCATCGCTTTCTGGCCTGAGTCTCCAAATCCTAAAGTTTCATGGTTATTACATTTGCTATGCAGTCGCCTCTTGAGCCTTGAGAGAATTAAATTGCAAGAGCAGAAATGTGCCATCTAATTTTGTGCTTCAGACCCGGGAGGATGGTGTGGCTGAGTAATTGGTCGGCTGTTTCTTTGAAGTCACTCCTTAGGGTCCAAAGAACCTTTATGGCGCGTTCCTTAGGGAAAAGGTGGTTTCCTCGTGCTTGTCAAGTATTCTGGGCTGACAGAACCCTCGGGACAATAACTGAAAGGCTGGTTGGTACTTAGTGGACTTTTCCTAATATTATAAGGAAAGGAAGGTTTCAGCATTTCCCTGGTTCATCTTCTGAATTACTTTCATTCCTGCAGCTGAGACCTTGGGCACATTTTTAACCCCAGCAGTAAAACAGAGAAGAGGAACAGAATTGCAACTGCGGTTCTTGTCACAGGCCTTGTGAGATACGACCCTGTAGGTCAGACTTCAACTGTGGTCAGGTTACTTTGCTGGAAAATAAAAATTGAAGACTAACAGGAACTATGAGGAAATCAACAGTTGCCAAAAATGATTTTGTCTGGATCAGGCATTTTTTACTAACAAAATATTTAAAAAATCATAGAAAAAAATTCTTTGTAGACTACAAAAATTCATCTAGTTAAAAACAGAAATATTTACATTTGAAATTACTTTCATCTGAACTCCTCCCTCCAAGGAAATTTACAGCTTTCAATCCCTGCAGCTTTCTAAGAGAGAGATTTTAAGGTGGCTTGTTGCCCTGATGGGCTGCATCCTCGGGGAGCTGGGTAATCCGTCCTGGAGGAATCCTTCGAAATGGCCTGTTTGCTCACACTTTCCGGTCCTGCAACCTTGTAAAACAGCCTTTACAACCACTTCAGGGTTCACTGGAAGTTCCTGTCACACATTGACAATGTCACACTTTTGGAAGAGAATGGGGCCAGTCTCGATTCCAGCAGAGCTCTGTATGGCTCTGACCTCTGAGTGCTCCCACCAGCCCAGAGAAAAAGCCTAGTAGGAAAGGAGGGAGGCCGGCCCCACACCATGAAACAGGCCTATGCCGGCACTGGCCATACTTAGGATTTTTATGGTCTTGCTCAAGAAATAAAAGAAGAGGTCACTGCACCGGAGCAAACATTTTCGATCATCGCTTTATTTCATTATTGTTCAACAGCAAAGTTCATTCCTCTCAAGGTGGATCTTGAATTGTTCCTTTCCTCATTCTGAATAAAAAAGGTAATGAAGAAAACACCTGTACTTTTGGAGACCTAGAATCTTATTTATGCTAATAAGCTTTTGACTGCAATTTTGTGTTACAATATTTCCTGCTGGCATCTCGGTGGTCACACGAAGCTGCCCACCCTCCAGTGAAGATGGCTGCCCACCACTACCACCGTTGAAACCAAAAGTAAGTGTTGAAAAATGCACCTTTTACAATAAAAAAGTAGAAACCAATTCAATTTCCTTTTTTTTTTTTTTTTTACGAATATAAAGTTTCTTGTAAATATGTACAGTCTTTTGAGCTAGTTCTAGAGCAGGAAGCATTTCACACATGGACACACGATATACACGCTGGGGCTCTAGCAGCCCGCTTCTCATGGATTTCCTAAATGAAATGCCAAGACTGAGAGACTCGTTTGCAGTGACCTTTCCAAATGCTGTGGACCAAGAGACAAAACTTCAGCAAACATTCAGTCGGATCTGCCCTGGGGGGTGGGGGCCGGGAGCGGGGTGCAGTATGACCCCAAAGACTCAAAGCGACACATGGAACATGACAGCGTGACACGGGCCAAGGGTGCGACCACGGGAGGGTGTCGGGCGTTTCGGAGGAGAAAGCACTTAGGTTGGGAGACGAGCAGGAAGGAGCCGGGACTCGGGCCGGGCTGCAGTCTGGGAAGGGGTCTGGACGGTGGACACCTGGGTTGGCACACGGTCACGTTAGCCTGCTGCGGTGGGGGCAGGGCTGCCTGCCGGCCTACTTAGGGTGTGCCTGGGCGGTGGGAGGTGAGCCTAAGAGAACCCGAAGCGAGAGATGCCTGTGGGAGATTAAAGGCAGAAATAAGGCCGCTAGTTAGCTTGCCAACTGCAAAGCCTCAAGGTTGGTTCTGTTCCAGTTGCGGGGGCTTACGGTCGCCAGAGGGTAGGAACAGGTGGGCCGCACTGCCCCTGAGGACGACTTCGGGACCCGGCAGAGGTGGGTGTGGGCTGCGGCTGCCTCTTCCTGGTCTTAGCCTAGCCCGAGGGAAAGGCTCGGTGGGGAAGTCACAGTTTTGTGGGTAGAACCGTGCTGGGTTTGTGTGAATAGTCATCCACGTGGACCGGCAGGAAGCGTGACCGTGTGAGGTGGTGGTTTGCTGAAATCCTTCTCTGGTCGTAAGGCTTGAGCGTTTAGTTTTTGTTGGTTCAGTGCTACAGACCGCAGCTTATGTGGCCAGTGAGCCGGCCAGTTGTCAGAGGGTCTCGATTTGTGGGAGCAATGGTACGGTCCTAGGACACTGGCAGAGCAACCCTAGGGGGGGCAGTCAGGGCGGGGGGCAGCACATGCAGCGAACCGCCATGCACAGTTCCCGGGCGGGTCTCTTCCATCCCAGGGCGGGAACGGCGTGCCATCGCGGACAGGAGGTGGGTGCCCCCAGTCCCCTCCCAGGCCCAGAGGCCCATGGGTGCTGGGCTCAGAGCAAACCTATGCATGCTTTCCTGGCCAAAGCTACATGAAAGCAGGACAGCAGGCCGGGGAGATGACGCTGAGGAGCGGGGAGGGAAAGCTTCTCGAGGTTCCTTGGCCCCAAGTCACTGCCTCCGAGCCGAGGCCGATGACCTCCGTACATTCTAAGCTGGTGGAGGGTAGTCGTCAAGGCCATAGAAGGCAATGAGAACAGTAAACATTTGGCTAAGATGTCGTCCTGGGTAAAACGGGGCGTCTGCAGGGAAGGGCAAAGATGAGAGTGGGCCTATGAGTGCAGGAAGTTAGCCAACTGGCGGGGACTCTTCTACAATACATTCCAGGAGCAAAGACCGGATGTGTGATCTAGCTAAAAATGACTAAACAGGAAATACATTGCTATTCAAATCTAGTAAGAATTCTGTTGTCTTTAAAAAAAATTAAAAAAAAATAAAAGGAGGGGGAAAACTTGGGAAAAACACACAAACAAAAAAACAACCAACCCTAGGATCTTAAAATAGCTATTAATTAGGGGTCTAACCACGTTGTAGTCAGTGCCCGGTTGGTTTCCTCTGATGAACTGGTACAGGCTAGAGCTAGGTACAAAAGTTTATGAATGCTTGAAAGAGTAACAAAGTGCAAAGAGGATGACTGCAGGACGTGCCGGCAGCTCCCAAGAGCCTCAGCGCCCCGCACCTCGTGGGCAGGGCTGTCCGTGCTGAGGTGGGTCTGGGTCCAGCTGTGCCATGGCGGCTGAGCGATGGCGCTGGGTCCCCTTCGGCAGAGTTCCATGGTGTGTTTGGTGTTTCCTGCAGATTGCGATGAGGAGTTGGCGTTTCTGACTGAGCTTTATACTGAAGACTGGTCCCAGACCTAGGAGCAAGAGGGGAAGGGGGTTTAGCTACCAGAGGCCAGAAATTGCCATGTTCTTTGCATAATCCACACAGGAAGTTTGCAGCACCTGGTTCCCCCTCAGCGGGTAATGCTGAGTGCTGGGCAGGGTGGCACCAATTAGCAAAGCCAACCCTCACAGCGTGGGGTCCATCAGGGACTAAAATTCACTAAAAAGTATTCCAAAGCTATGAGTATTTTTACAGTCTCTCTCTCTCTCTCTCTCTCACACACACACACACACACACACACACACACACACACGCACGCACGCACACGCGCTCAATCTTATCAGTAGGGCATAGAAGCAAAGAAGATAAAAACATTTAGAGGCTTTCCTCCCTGTGCCGGCAGGGGTGCGAGGTGATCTGCCGATGGCATCAGAGGAAATGCAGCTTCAGTGACGGAAGATTCAAATTCTTCTAGAAGGTAGCCAGTGCCTGATGCATGTGCACATTCGTGTGTGCGTTTGGAAAGGCAAGGCACAGAGCGCGTTATGCAGTAAGTGATTTGAGTGTAAGAAGGACGCATACACACACATCTGCTGATATGCATACTTGCTCTAACGGCCAGCGCCTGTTGCCTCCGAGGAAGGGAAAGACCCTGTTTGGCCGTTGTCACATTTGTGGGACACACACACACACACACACACACACACACACAATTCATTTGCTGAGGAAGTCGCTTGTCTTTCCTTCCTGACCGCGTGGTCTCAGCCTGAACTGCAGTAGCGCCTTCCTTCTCACTACAGAGGCCGGAGGGGGCCTGGCTCCTCAGTCCCTCCTCCGGCCTCCGGGCGGTGCTCACCTTGTTGACCTGGGACAGCGGGGTCCTCACGGCTCCCGCGGGCAGCCGGCCCCGGCTGCTGTCTTCGAACGGCCGCCCCGGGGACCGCTCCCTCCGAGTGCCGAGCACGCGGCCCGGGGACTTCTCCCGCTCCAGGGGGCGGCCCGGGGACTTGTCCCTCCGCAGCTCGGTCCGCCCCTCTCGGTGGCGGTGGGGCGTGCCTGGCTCTCGCGGGTGGCTGGGGCCTTCGGGGGGCGCCGGGCTAGAGGCCACGCGCTTGGTGATGTGCTCGTTGTACGTTGGCGGGCCTCGCTTGTTGGGGCTGCTGGCAACAGGAGAGGGAGGGAGCTGAGGAGCCACACCCAAAAAGGCATTCTCCTCCTGTGAGAACCCCCAGGTCCCAGCTCACCACTGACCCTGAGAAAGGGGCCCACCTGAGTTCTCCAGGCTCTTTGTCTATTTGGTTTGGGGGGGGAGGGCAGCGAGAGCACAGATGACGACAAAAGAAAATCGCGCTTCCGCTCTAGGAGCACCTGTGAGCCAGGCCTGATGCTCAGCTCTCACTGTCCTTAGACCATCACAACAGCACAGCTGGGAGCAGCAGGCCCCACATTGTACAGACAGGGAACAGACACAGGCGGGCTGGGACTCAGCTCTGGCCAGTTTGATGTCACAATCCCCACCCTCTATCCTTCGACTCGTCTTTTCCTGAGCCCAGGAGGCACGGAGGACTGCACGTAGAGGGTCAGCCTGCTGAAAGGCCCTCGATGCAAGGGAGCCATTGGAGAAAGCCCGTTTCATCCCTGTCAGCTGCCATTGCTGTCCCCTCCTGGGCTACGTTCAGCCCCTCTCCCTCCAGGTGGCTTTCTAAGGAGGCAGCCCAACGCTGACGTGAAAGGTGTAGGGATCAGGCCTGCCATAAGTAGGAAGCTGACAAGGCAGATAAAAACAGTGTAGCTGCTCATAAAATGCTCCTGACCCCAAAGGGTGACGGTTAATAACCAATCAGGTGAGAATACTGAGCCCCTCCCCACCCCCAAAAGAGAAAGAAAATACTGAGGCCTTTTCATTCAACAAATCCCCCTGTATCCCCCACTGGCCTGGGTGTTTCATGACTATTTCTGCACACACATCCGTCCATCTCTGAAGAAGCCAAAGCAAGAAACAGAACTGACAATTGGCCTCCACATCCATTCCTCCCACCCCCGGAGCAGAAACAGATCGGTCCTCATTACCGGAGCACGATAAGTGCTGGGAGAAGGCCACCCGCCTACAAGGAGACCAGTTCTAGTGAATCCACTTGGAGACCTATTTTCATTGATTGGGGCTTTAAATCTTCAAAGTAAAAGGAGAAATCAGGAAAATAAATTTATCTTATCCTTAATATTTTAAAAATCTATATTACATGCTAATTCTAAAAATGAACCAAGTATGAATCCCTTACTGATTTATTTTGCTGTAACTTTCTCAGTAAAATTATATGCTTGAAAAAAAATTTTTTTAAATTATATGCTAACATGCTACATGACATCCTTTACAAAGATGCTAGCTTTTGCAGTAAATCATAAAGACATCTCTTCGAAAATATCTAGTTTTCCCAAAGGCCTATTGCGATCCTTGAAATTTAAATCTTTCCCTTTTGGACAGTTTATAATTTTATCAAATTTGTTGATTTTCTTTCTTCAATTATTGATCTAACTTTACCAGAAACTCATTTGTCAATGCTCAGAATTGAAAGCAACTGAGCAGCAAAGATACTGATCCCTGGGGGAGAAAGACTAGAGCAAGCCGAGGGCCACACCCAGACAGATGCCTGCTTGTATAAGTAAAGTTTTATTGGCACACAGCCAGGCCCATCTGGAGATGCACTGTCTCTGGCTGCTTTCACACTAAGCCGAGTGGAGTAGTGGAGACAGAGACCATATGGCCCACAAAGCCCAAAGTATTTACTATCTGGACCTTCACAGAGAACGTTTGCCAATTCCTGCTCCACGGTGACACAGAGAGGTTGGTGAGCGAGATCACTTTAAAAGCAGTTGGTTCATGGTGCACAGTTTCATGTCATTCTCTTACTTCCTGGTGCACCGCTGACAGTGAAGACCCCAATACCAAGTGTTCAGAAAGCCAGCCCACCCTGCGCTGAGCACGCAGCAACAGAACAGAGTAACTCCGATTTCAACAGCTTGAATCCAAGGTTTACATTCATCTCTAGTTACGTGGCTTTAAGACATGGCAGACAAATAAAAGGAAGCCCATTAGGAGAATCACATCCAGTCTGCAATGGATGAGAAATTACAAAATGTGTCCACAGGGCCCTTCAAAAAGTGAGAGGGAGGTTACTGCCCAGGGGAAGAAAGATGGCTCAAGGAAGGCCGTTGGGGATGTCGGCTTAGATTAATGGACAAAGAAGATACCCATCCTTCTAGGCCGAGTGGGCAATCTTCCATCTCCATGTGCATAAGAACCAATGATCGTCACGTCAATTTTATGCTTCTTGCAAAGAGTTACAGTTCCTGCTCTGCTAACCAGCCCCGGGCGATGCGGTGACCCGCGAATGTGGACTGAGAGCGCCGGGCCCAAGGGTTAGTTTTGTCGTGTTGTTTACACGCTGGGGAAATTCAGTTTATTAAACATTTCACGTAACTGCTGTCCAGTTTTGCCAAGCTGTGTAGTGACTTTCAAATTCTAGTTTTCACAACCTGGAGACCAGACAGTTGTTTCACGTGATGTGCGTAGTGCCTCAGGGCTAGAGTTTGCTTTGTTTATCGGGTCAGTACGCCTTGTCTTTTCCAAGAGCTATTTTGTGAACAGATAATGTATTTCTCCACTGAAAACAGAATAAACAACAGCAGCCAGTACTCTTCCCCCAATTTCAGACGTTAGTTACATTCTAACCTGCCCAAAGCAGTCTCCAGCTACAGGCCGTGTACGCCGCAAGGCAGCCAAAGACTGACGCTGTTGTCCACATGCCTGACAGCAGCATTGTTTCTGCCATGTTCACAGGCTCTGGGCCACTTTCCACTACAGAAAAGGTAACTCGCTTCAGAGGCACCACACAGTCTAAGGGAAGGTGCCTGGCCACTGAACTAGTGAGACAGGGAGGAAAAGATCTAATTACAGTACTTGAATTTGTTCTTGACATGACTTAGGAGCTACTTAAATAAAGCCTAGATAAATTAAATAAAAACTACTTAAATAAAATCTAAAACTCCCAAGGGAGGACTTTGAGCAGCCACTCTTGAGGCAGGGGCAGGCCAAGAGTGAGGAGCTGCTGGTTGTCCAGCAAGTCCTGGGATCACACCACACTGACCGAATACTTCTGACTGACTCTTACATTTCAGCAAAAGAAAGAGCCCAAGACCTGAGTGTTTTGTAATATCAGAGGTGTTTCCTCGACCAAACCGAGTCCCTTCCGATTAGAAAGTGTCTTCATCTCTGCACCCAGCCAGGCATCGTGTCTGCACAGGGCTCTTGGTAGACACGTGGGGTTGTAAGCCAGTCCAGAAATGGAAATCCTAGACAATTAAATACCCCCTGGGTTAAATCATCTCAGCCTTTTCTGTGGACGGAGAACTTGAACTTTATACATCTCATACCTCCACATCGACCTGGAGCTGGTACCCTCTGTGGCAAGACAAGGCCAGCCCACTTCCACATAGTGCTGTGGGACAAAAGGTTTCCGCAGCCGCGGAGGGAAACACAGCAACATCCATCAAAATCACAAACGCACAGCCGCTTCTAGGAACTTATCCTACAGGCAGATTCCTAAGCTTGCAGAATATCAAAATGACACAGGCACAAAGTCAACTCTACAGCAACAGACGGAAAACAGTCCAATACCCAATGGGAAAGGAGCAGAGCCATAAGCTGAAGGTCACGGGAAGGAATGCGGTGAGGCTTAGAAAAGAAGGAAGAAATGCTCCCTACACTGACACGGAACGCGCTCTGTCTGTTAAGGTTTGCGGCCTGCACAGCGTGCGGCCACCTGTATGAGAAGGAAGGGCAGAGCGAGAAACCTGTTCCTTCATAAAAGCAGCAAGAACACGGACAAACACTGTCAAAATCAACTTCCCGAACTCTGGAAATTAACTAGAGGCTCGCAAGAGCGTTTATGTAGGAAAGACAGCTGAATTCCAGTAAGAACAGCTCTGTGACCCTGTAAGTTGACCTGCTCCCAAGGCTTTCCCCCGGAGCTGCAGTCGTGTTGACAGCAGCAGCCGGTGGAAGCCAGCAGAGGGGCTGCCAGCAGCCCGGGGGACTGCCGCTCCCTAGAAAAATGTCACAGTCCGACCAGTCTGGTTCCTCCTTGGAAAAGACCCTCAGGGCTGGTTTCTATTTGTCCTGGCTCAGCGCTACCTCTTTGGAAAAGCCCTTTCCCAGGGAACCTCAGCGGCAGCCAGAAGAATCAGTCTGGGAGAGTCACTGAGTAAACAGCAGCAAGCCCAAGGAGGAGATCAGATTTCCCGTCACCACATTCTATTATCTGAGAGGCTTTGTTTTCAACAAAAAAAATCATGACATACAAAGAAAGAAGGACATATAAATAGGACTTCATTTCTTCCAGGAAATCTCCCCTGTCCCCCAAGTCCAGGCTGGGGGCCTCCTCTGAGTGCTACGGAACCTCAAATGACCCTGATGGCAGCCTCACCTTCTAGGCTGTGCTGGAATCGCCTGAGCGCATGTCTCTCCCCTGGAACTTCACCAGGGAGGAGATGCATCTGGTTTACTCTCCTCTAACCCTGCCATGACCGCCCAGCTAGCCCGGAAGGACATATGCCAAAGCAATGACTGCATGATGCACGCTGCACCAAACAGCCACTGACACACCCTCAGAGGAAGGCCGGGCATTTCCTCCCGCCTTTGCTGGGGACCATTTAAACAGTCTCCTGCCACTGCCCTGACAAGGTTACGTCAAGGCTGCAGAGCTCAAAGAAACGAGTGGCTTGAGCTTCAATACCGGGAACCTCCAGGCAGGTTAGCAAGATTTCCTTCTGCTCTGCAGAAAGTGCGAACCCCTGGACTGAGAAGAGGAGGGCACGGTACCTGCGGGAGGTGGAGGGCCCCCGGTGGTGGTCAGTGCCAGACTCCTTCACGAGGTTCCCTTTGCAGCAAATGATCCTCAGCTTATCCTGGTAGGAGGACGCCAGGTAGATCGCTCCCGAGGAAATCGCGGGGCCCAGGTAGCGTGGGTTTGGGATTTCCAAATATGCTCGGGCCGGAGTCCTGCTGAGAACAGGAGAGAGCAGTGCTGTGAGCGCCGCTGCAGACAGACAGGGACGGAAACCAGCGCCCGGCCCGACACCCACCCCAACCCTGAGCCCATCGGAGCCGGGGCCGTGCTTACCCCAGAGAGGAGCGGGCCTGGATCTCAATCACTTCCAGTGAGTTGAAGTGGGTCACAAACAGATAGGGTTCTCTGTAGGCTGGGCCGCCGCGGAGGAAGCGTGAGAAGGAAGCGTTAAAAGGAAGAAAATGAAAACCAGCCTGCAGTGCACCCTTGGCCCAGCTATCCCACCGGGCACAAGGAGGCCGCTCGAGGATGCTCACTGCCATGTTCTCAGGGCAGAAGATGGGAACAGCTCAAGGTACGTGCAAGGGGATCAGGTACATACACGGTGGCACAGCTCAAAATGCAACAAGAACCTCTCCAGTACTGATATGGGGGGGAGAGGGGGCTGAGGTGCGCAGTTTTCTTTAGCGCATAAAGCAAGGTTCAGAATAATGTGTCAGGTGTGCTACTGTAATGATATAATAAAAAAGGGGGACATAAGAATATAGTTCCTCTCTACATTTGCATAAAGCTCTAGAAAGATAAGAAACTCAAAACTTTTTTTCTCTTGAGAGAGTGGGGATGGAGAGTTAGGAAGATTGGTAATATGATGAGACTTTTACTGTACACATTAAAAAATGTTTGACGGGGGGCAATGTTAAAATATGTACACAGATAGTAATTTAATAAAAAATATTAAATAAAAATAAATAAATAAAAAATAAAAAACGTTTGATTATGTGCATTTTGAAAAAATTAAATTACCTACCGGGTTCATAGGTAATTAGGTATTTCTGATCTTAACACCATATATCACAGGGTCACTGAAACACTAACGATGACCGGTGATCTTTTCTATCTTAAAGGGGAAAGAAGGCCCAGGAGTCTCCTGGCCTTGAACCTGGGCTGGCTCCGTGGCGTGCTTTAACCAGGGGATACGGTGGCCCACATGGAGAGGAACTGAGGCCTCCAGCCACCAGCTCAGCCGGGCTCCCACAGCTGCTGCCATGTTTGTGAGCCACTGTGACCCGCTGACACCATAGGAACAGAGCGAGCTGGGCAATCACACACCGTGGACAATAAGCTGTGTTCAGTCACTAAGTTCTGAATTTGATATGCAGACACAGATAAACGAAAAAGCCTTGAAGGGCATGTCAGCTGTGATGGTAATTCGAAACATTCACGGGGACAAGCAAGGACATGTTTGCATGTATGTGTGATCACGTATGTAGTTCCACTTTTAGAACTTAGGAGCAGAAGATACTATTTGACAAGTGCTTAAAAATTAGTACGAGATCTCATCACAGGGCAATTTACACTTAAAAAAGAATGGCCAGGACCTGAGTGCTTTGCCCAATTAGAACGGATAACATTGACAGGTGTTTGGCGGTGCCGTGGGATACTCTGCTGCCTTGGAAATGATTTAAATAAACTCAGGGAAGGGTCTGCTTGCTCTCAGGAGACCCTAACAAATACTTTGAAAGGCTGGTGGGTTTGGCTGTGCAATTTTCTATCAAGCCTTAGACTCTGCCCTGAGCACTGACTCAAGGACGACTACATGTGGCACTTGGTGTCCATGGAATCACGAGCACAGTGCTTGGGCCACAATGAATCGCGCCCACAATGCTTCCCCGGGACACCAGCTGCTGGCGAAAGGAGCCCGCACGCCTGCCTCACTCACCGAAGGCCAACGGTAAGCGACTCCACTTGAGATCGTCTGTGCGGCTACGTCTTCCGTAAGAATCCACGAACACCCCAAATTCTGCAAGGAGTCAGAGCCGGGCGTCAGCACAGCTAAGGCTAATGCACACACTGACGGGAGGAGACGTCGAGCCCAGGGACCACTGACTGGATTTCACCAGATGGTTAAAACCTAAAGACCCTGCTAAGCCTGATCTATTAGAAAAAGGGTTTTTTTGCCCTAATTGGTTTGGCTCGATGGATAGAGCATCGGCCTGCAGACACAGGGGTCCTGGGTTCAATTCCGGTCAAAGGCATGTGCCTTGGCTGCAGGCACATTCCCAGTTGGGAGTGTGCAGGAGGCAGCTGATCGATGTTTCTCTCTCATTGATGTTTCTGGCTCTCTATCCCTCTCCCTTCTGTCTGTAAAAAAATCAATAAAATATACAGGAAGGAAGGAAGGAAGGAAGGAAGGAAGGAAGGAAGGAAGGAAGGAAGGAAGGAAGGAAGGAAAAAAGAAAGAAAGAAAGAAAGAAAGAAAGAAAGAAAGAAAGAAAGAAAGAAAGAAAGAAAGAAAGAAAGAAAGAAAGAAAGAAAGAAAGAGTGGGTTCAAGTGAAAGGGGGAGAGAAAAAGAAAAGGGAGGGGGAAGAGGGTTGGGGAAAGGAAGGCAAAGAGGAAAGGGGAGAAACAGAGACCCAAAGACAGGAAAGAAGAGAAAGAAAGACCCAGGGATTTGGAAAGAAAAAAGAGAAACATCAAGAGAAAAGAAAAAGGAAGGAAGAAAAGACAAAAATATGACAGGGAGAGAAGTGCGGACAGAGAAGGACAGAACTGTGTGATCTTTGGGCAGAATAGAGTGGCCCTGGGTCAGGGGAGCACCCTGGTGGGGACAGCATCCTGGTGAGGAGCCTCTGTGGCGGCTGGAAGGAGTTCTCTGCACCCCAGCAGGGCCGCCTTGCCCAGAGTCCCGACACCCGCAGCCCTGGGGACCTGGGTCTGCTGGTGCCAAAACAGCAGCGAGCGGCAGCCCAACTCACCGTGGAAGCAGAGCAGGTACTCCTCCCGCTGCCCTGCACTGTTCACCTGCATTATCGAGACAGGGAAACTGTGGGAAGAGGAGGCAAACACAGCAGGCGCCAAGGAATGGTCATTCTTGTCCAGGAATTCTGAAAAGGCAGGCGAGAAGCAGGGCTTCAGGAAGGGGCTGGAGGTGCTGGCGAGGCCAGAGCAGTGTGTGGGCTGGAGGACTGGGGCCTACCCTCGAGTGTGTACTGCTTCATGTCAATTTCGTAGAATTTATTGGTTCCGATGAGGATACTGTAGTTGGTGAAGTGGATACAGCTGCAGGGCTCTGAGGTCTCTATCTCCTGAGACAGAGGGCAAGAGGAGAAAGTGAGTGTCCTGGACCCAAGCAGCCACGCCTCCAGCTCTATTTCCACCTCAGGCCTCCCTGAGCCTTGCAGAGGGACCTCTGCCTCAGACTTGTTCAAGCTTTAGATTACGCACAGCATTCAATCTTTCTGCGTCCCTTTGCTATCTCTGAATTCTTTGCAACCCCAATCTAAGAAAATAAGGCCAAAGTATAGCCAAATAAAAGGGCAGAAACACCAATTCAATAAAAAGGTAGCGTTCAAAAAGAAAGCTTTAAAAATACAACATTCTTCTCAGAGGGAAAAGCCTGGACAAATACACCAACTATTAACAGTGGTGACTGGAGGGAATGCTTTTAGCTTCCTTCTTCCTTCTATGCTTCTATTTTGAACCTACATCACCTACATAACTATTATCACCATCACTGCCGTCTTCTGTCTGAATTCTCTGCCAGTGAGAGAGGAGACCTGCAGCCACCAGCAGCCTGGAGCCTCCTCCAGGAAGGAAGGGTCTCGCTCCACGGTCACCCAGCGAGAGGACGGCAGGTGCAGGGACAGGCACCTGCTGTTTCCTGGGAAGCACGCTTTCTAGCCAGCACATGGGCAAAGCAGGTGGACCAGGCCTGGACTTACTTTGCGAATGCAGTACTTGCTGAGGTTTTCGTTGTAGCGGAGAACGACGACTTTGCTGGGCATGGCTGCGCAGATGCAGAGCCCGTTCTCAATCTGAAAAGCATCGGAGGAAAAAGGAGTGTCACTGGTGGGTACAGTGACTGCTGGAAAACAGTGAGGGCTCACCCTCGGCACTGCTGAGCCCTCGACCAGGTACTTTCGTGGTGAGGGGCTCTTCTGTGCATGTGGGATGTTTAGCACCAGGGCCCTGCTTACTAGATGCCAACAGTTTGACAAAAAATGTCTCCAGCCATTGTGCAACATCCAGGGGGCAGCTCACCCCTGCGTGAGAACCCCTGATTTAACAGAAATGCAGAGGAAGGCTCAGGAAACCCACCTGCCCCCACATGCATGGTGTGTGTGTGTGTGTGTGTGTGTGTGTGTGTGTGTGTTATCTGCTGGAGACAGGCCCTTTTGACCACCTTACTCCCCCAGGGAGGGGAAAGGCGGTAGATGTTGCTATAAGAATTTAGAGAAGATTTTGGCCCAAAAAGAAAAGTTCTTAGCTAAAATCTGTGTATATAGAGTTCTACATGAAAACTGTTTTTTCTAGAACAGCTGAATCCTTCTTACTTCATCTCCTACACCTAGATCTTTGTCGTTTCACCAAGACTGAAAAGAAGCTGATGGTTCAAATCAGTCCCGAAAGGAAGGTGCTGGCAGGGTGGGCAGAGGGAAATGGGATGGATTAGGGAGGGAATACACAGGAAAATGAAAATGATTGGCAATATTCTATTTCTTGGGTTGGATAGAGAATATGTAGATATTACAACAGTATTAGTTGTCATAATTTTATAATATACATATATACTCCATTATTTTTTGTATATTTCAAACATTATAATGAAATTAACTTATAATTTTTTAAAAACCAATTTTTGGAAACTAAGATGCACATTTCTAAATAACTCATCATTCACAGATAAATATAAGAAAATTAAAAATATGAAGAATGACAAAAATTTACAGGGTTCAGCCTAACCGGTTTGGCTTAGTGGATTGAGTGTTGGCCTGTTGACTGAAGGGTTCCGGGTTTGAAACCCAGTCAAGGGCACATGCCCAGGTTGTGGGCTTGATCCTCAGTGTAGAGTAGGCATGATCAATCATTCTCTCTCATCATTGATGTTTCTCTCTCTCCCTTTCCCTTCTTATCTGAAATCAATTGTGTGTGTGTGTGTGTGTGTGTGTGTGTGTGTGTGTGTCGTATTGATGTGAAGAAAGTGAAACAGGCCCTGGTGCGTGCACAGACACACACACACACACACACACACACACACACACACACACACACACGATGCAACTAAAACTGTAGTTGGAGGAAAATGTGTAGCCCTTAAATGCTTATATTAGAAAAAGAGACCTGGAAATTAATTATGAAACATTCTGCACATTGAGGCCCTGAGGAGAGCATACCTTGCCAGCAGCAAACAAGTGGCAGCCCTTGACAGCTTCAAAAATGTTGGGCGAGATGTCTGGCTGGGCAGGAAGGTGAGACTGTGCCAGGGACTGTTTCACTTTCTTCACATCAACAAGACACAGGGCTCGCTCTTCTCCTGAGGGGAAAAGGAACAGCTTCTTGGTCAGTGTGGGAACATTAAGCAAAGACACAGGATGGCAGTTGTAATTCTATTCACAACAGATGGACTGTTTTCCATGGATTCCTGTAATCACAGTTTAGGTCCAAGTTTCAGATCTCAAATGAAAACATCTCACCTCTTAGGCAATATTCATGGAGAAAAAAACATTCTGAAGGCAGAAAACTGGAGAAGGAGAACTATACTTTTCAAACATGTGCCCCACCAAAGTAAGAATGGGATAGGAACTGTGAGAGAATGTTTTATAAAACTACTAGAGGCCGGTGCACGAAATTTGTGCACAGGGATGGGGAAGGAGGTGTCCCTGAGTTGACCCTGCATCTTCTCTAATCTGGGACCGCTCAGGAAATGTCCGACTGCCAGTTTAGGCCCAACCACTGGCTCCTAACCATTCACCTGCCTGCCTGCCCCCAATGACCTTCCCCTGCAGGCCTAGTCGCCCCCAACAGCCCTCCCCTACCAGCCTGATCACCCCTAACTGCCCTCTCCTGCAGGCCTAGTTGCCCCCAACAGCCCTCCACTGCCGACCTGGTCACCCCTAACTGCCCTCCCCTACAGGCCTGGTCACCCTCAACTGCCCTCCCCTGCTGGCCTGATCTCATCCCTCAACTGCCCTCCCCTGCTGGTCTGATCTCATCCCTAACTGCTCTCCCTTGCCAGCCTGATCGCCTCTCACTGCCTCTGCCTTGGCCCCCACCACCAATGGCTTTGTCCGGAGGGAAGTTGGGCATCCGGAAGATGGCTGGTCGACCTAGTTTAATTAGCATATTATCCTTTTATTAGTATAGACAATTCCAATATGGCAATGTCATGAAAGACAAAAGACAAGCTAAGGATCCACTCAGGTTAACAGAGACTAAAGAGACATGATTAAATGTAGTGAATGATCTCAGATGGGATCACTACTCTAAACAAATACTCTAAAGGCCAGGATGGGAGCACAGATAAAATCTGACTATGGGCAGTATGTCAGAGCACTGTATTCCAACTAAGGTTAAACGCCATGAATTCGTAACAGTGCCATGCGAAACTATTCTGAATAATGCTATCATAGAGGATCTGTGCCACAACCTATGGGTATACAACACAAGAGCAAACCTGCATGTAAACTATGGACTTTAGGTGACAATGGTTTCCCAGTGCACATTCATCACTTGTAACTAATGTACCCTCTAGTGGGACTGTTGATAGTGGGGGAGGCTGTGTGTGCGTGTGTGTGTGTGTGTGTGTGTTGTGTGTGTGTGTGTGTGGAGGGGGGAGGGATCTATGGAAAATCACTGTACAATCCAGTTTTGCTGTGAACCTAACACTGTTCCAAAGAGTAAGATCAAAGAGCCCAACCAGTGTGGCTCAGTGGTTGAGCATCGACCTATGAACCAAGAGGTCACAGTTCAATTCCTGGTTAGGGCATATGCCCAGGTTTCAGGCTCCATCCCCAGTGTGGGGCACGCAGGAGGCAGCCGATCAATGATTCTCTGTCATCACTGATGTTTTTTCTCTTTCCCTTCCTCTCTGAAATCACACACACATACATATATATATATATATATTTTTCTTTTTTCTTTTTTTAAAGAATAAGGTCAAGGAGAAAGGGAGGCAGAGAGGAAAGCCAATAAGAAGAAACAAAGCAAGCAGAGGAAAGAGCTGAAGAACAAGAAAAGTCAGTGCCAGACCATCATAGCTAAGCCCCTGGATCCATCCAGTTGTGCCTAAAACAGGACCTAATTGTGGATGTTTTGAATATTGAGCCAATAAATTACTGTTTTCCTTTAAAAAAAAAAAAATAGTACCCAAAGGAGAGAAAAACATTTTTGCCTTGGTTATGTGAGAGAATACCCTGTTCTTAGGTGATATGCTGAAGAACTGGCTGCAACTCTCAGTCCAAAAAAGTGATAACATGACTGTGTATCACAGGGAGAGAGAAAAAAGCCTAAGAGGTGGTGAGTCTAGACAAAGGGTCTCCAAGAAGTCACAGAGCAGGACGGAGCAGGCCACCTCTCACAGGCTATGGCTCCAGGCTGTGATGCTATGAGGACAGAGGTCTGACGTTAACGAGCCTCAGGCTCATTGCTCTTCACCCGTTACATGGTGAGAAGTTCCTCAGGGGTGTCAGTCTGTGCTACACTGGACCTCAGGGAACCGAAAAGAACAAGAGAGCCATCAGCTTGGGCACATCAGGGACAGAGAGAGAAGAGCTGCTTCCGCTCCAACCTGCCCGCAGGAGGGCTGCCTTCCGGTTTCACTAGCATGACACCTGGCTTTCAAACAGTTTTCCTTAAAGTGAGGAAAAGCGCCGTGCTTGGCCTCCACCTGCTATCATGAGGAGCTTCTCCAGGTCCTTGATGATATAGATTTGGAAGACTGCTCCGATTCCCGGGACGGGGGTGAGGGCGTTTTTCAAGACATTCAGTGCATAGAGCCCTTCCTCGGTGCCGACCAACACCACCTGCACGGGCAGAACATAAGCATCGTCACGTCACCATAACAACCAAACAGGAAGAGTCGCAAAGCTGACACAACCTTTTCTTTCTTGACGGCATGTGGCTGTAGCCAGACGCCAAGCAGACAGAAAGCACCGTTACCTGGTCGCTGAAGGGCAGTGTGCAGTTCATGTCTAGCCGGTCATCACCTTCCAGTTTCAGCAGGGAGTTTCCAAGCAATTTCTTTTCATATGTGAAAGAAAATAAGAGAAAAAGAACCTGGTGAGATTGAACTATTTCATGACCAGAGACAAAAGCAAGAATGGTAAGAAGCTTAATGTCAGAAAGAAAGGCAAGTTACTCCTGAAAACACTCAGAAACACACTTCTGCTCGTGGCTTGCCTCATATTTTGATCTGAGCTCAAAAGGCAAGACTGAGTCTTACCACTGTCTCTGGGGTGGTGGTTAATTAGCACTGCAGTTAGAACTCCGCTTGGACGCAGACATATATTAGTAATAGATGTAGAAGATATTCTGGGGTAATAAGCTGAAGCTAAGAGATGTACCTGCAAAGGGTTATTGAGCACACAGAAGGTTCTTTCCCCTCCAGGCTGTAGCAAAAGTGCAAAGCCCAGGGTCAGCAGCAAACCAACAAGCTTGCGGAGTCTCTTTACCTGAACCCATGCAGGCAGCAGCCCGTAGGGAGTGCAGCCGGGGCCCTGGTTACACAGAGTAACGTGAATTCAGTCAGAAGTGTACACGGTAACGAGGGAACAGGTCACTGAACAAGTCTACCCAGTGAGCAGAGCTCCTGATATCAGGAGGCTCGTGGGTAAGGATTCCAGTTGTTAATATTTCGAGTGTTTATAGGAGGTAAGTGTTTGAAAAGCACTGTTCGTTCTTTGGTGGAGAAAATGCCAATGAGCAACGAACCCTGTATATCCTGAAAAGTTTGGGGGGTTGCTGCCAATCAAGGCACACCTACGTTTCTAACGTCTGAAGGATAAGCAGGATTTTAAACCTGCCTACGGAAGAGCTAATCGTGCCGAAGCGACTGGGAAGGCTGTGAAAAGCCTGCCTGAAGCAGACGTGGCTGTGGCCGCCTTTTGTGCTGCTACATGGCCAACATGCTTGACACTCCAGCCTTCAAACCCAATAAACTCATCAGAGTAAACAAGAGAGGATTTCCTAAGTCCATGAGCGGCTGTGTTGCCATGACTAAGAGGTGGCTAGCGGTGCTGCCACCCATCCTAAAAGAGGGCCTGTGGTGCCCACACAAGCCACCCAAGAGCCCGTATCGCTGTCCCCACAGAACTCCGAGAAGGAGCCCGAGGGAAATCCTGACCACCAGGACCCACTGTGTCAGCCCGCAAAGACAAGCCCTGGCGCCAGCTCATACTCACAGCATCGGCTTCTGCCTTTTCCCTAGAAACTCTCCCACCTGCGACAACTGATTCTAAGGCGGTGACCCAGCGCTGCTTGTCGGGGAAGCTGGGAGCTAGCAAGTAGAGGGTTCTCCCGGGCCAGCAGGTGGTATGCGGGTGGGATTCCATCTTCAGGATGTATGGGACATCTAGAGTGCGACAGAGAGCACAGGGTTGGGTGTGGATTTCCCACTCCCGCCGGAAGGGATGGCCCTGAGGTTTCAGAGATTTCACTGCTAAGATAGGGAACTCAGGAGGTTGGGCCCTTGTGCAGGCCAATCCCTCACTACCCTCCTGCCCCCATGGACTTAGCAAGCCCAGCCCACCTCCGGGGGAGGCCCCTGTTCTCCTTACCTGCTTTGGCTGTATTTGCAAGTTCAGAAGCACCAACGGCGCCATGAATAGATACATCCCCGTCGGGAAGGCACAGCTCAAATTCTTCCACCGGCCTCTGTCCAGCTTGGTACAAAGAGGAAGGGCAGAAAGAAAAACAAAAGAACAGGAACAAGAACAAGGAAGGGGAAAAGAGAAAGAGAGAGAGAGAGAGAGAGAGAGAGAGAGAGAGAGAGAGAGAGAGAGAGAGAGAGAGAGAGAGACAGTATGCGTGGAAAGAGGCACACAAGAACAAAGGAGGGGAAGGGTGTGCAGAGAAGGTGGAGAGGGAAGATAAAAAAAAATAAAGTGTGTCAGATGAGTAGCACAGTCAACTTTCTGATGACGATGCGGATTTATGGGTTAGTTGGCTGAGGCAGAAGTTCTCGGAAGGTGTGTTAGCAGGTGGAATCTTCAGGGCAGCACCCTGCAGGGTCTTCAGAGGGGAGACCTATAGATGTGAGTATCGGACCAATAACCTTTAGTGAAGTCACTTGGTGTTTAATTTTCAAAAATGGGAATTGTAGAAGGCTTGCAGCGCAGTCCAAAAAAACAAAGCCTCACGCCAAGCCTGGGAGCCCTGGGCCACCACGTGCAACGAAAGCCCCTGAATTCCCAATTTACCTTCTCTGGCTTCGTTGTCATAAATGAGGACCTTGGATCCCTCCAGGACAATGTACTTCCTGTCCCAGCCTTGCTGTCCTCGTTTGTTATTCCTGGGAAAAGAGAAGGGAAAAAATGTTGGAAATTCAGAGGATTCAGGGGAGGAAGGGGAGGAGGAGGGAGGGATGCCAGAGAAGACAACCCTAGGGTTCTCTAAAAACACCAGGACTGGAGGTGGCCTGGGTCCTTCCATGCAGCAGAGGGGAGCAAAGCTTCCTTCGCCCCTCTGGGTTCTGTGGCTGGCATTGGAGCCCACTGACACCAGAAGATGAACAGGAGAAAAGCAAACACATTGTATGTTGCCTGGGTATCTCCATAAGAAAATAAAGACCCAAAAAGCCGAGAGGCCCAAGTGCTTGTACTCTAGGCAGAGTAAGAGCAGTGATTCTGAAAAAGTACTAAAATGCACAGGGGCAGCCATGACTCCCCATCTCTGGAGATCGGAGTGTTTCTTTCCTGCTGGTGCAGGGAGGGCAGCTCTGACAGGGAGCTTTATCTCCGGCTTTCAGGAAGAGGAAGGGGAAGGCAGAGTGTCCTTGCACCTGCTGTTTTTCAAGAGCTTTTAGTTCAAAATAGTCTTTATCCTAGAGTGGCATATTGGGGGTAGCATATTCTGCCATCCTTCACCAGCAATAGCCCAAGCCACCCTGCAACAATACCTGGGCACCTTCATCCAACCTTCCAGGTGCAAGCTGCTGCTGGGCTCCTTGGCCTGGAGACCTGGGGAATTCATTTTGTCACGGCAGAAGGCCTCGGTGAAGTGTGTGGCATATTCGGCTGGCAGGCCACAGGTAGCTGGCAAGCACGTGGAGCACTTGGGATGACACATCACCTGACATTCTAGGGAAAAGCAAGGGACAACCTGAAAACTCACGTGGCTGATCCTGGACCATTCCCTTCCTCCACCAACCACTGCGGGCCTGTCAGTCTGGCCTTGTCACCCAGGTAACCCCTAAGCTTCCCCAGGAGCCAGGCCGCTTCAGAGACAGGAAATGAGAGAGCCAGTGCTCTCAGTCCAGTTGTCCCGGTCTCTCCCAGGCTATCACAGACAAATGTGTAAAGGACACATGTGCACGTCCCAGGGGAAGCCAGCAAGCACACAGCCTACTGGTAGGCAGAGACCAGCCAGAAGAAAGAGGACTGGAAATTAGCACTTTGTACAGGAGGTTGGAGACATGAGCCGAAAACAGGTATAAACTCACTCCTCCAACAAGAGAAAAATAGCAACCTCCCACTGAAACCAAAAGCCTGGAAATGCATGTACTCTATGATAAGGAAATTAAAACAGGGGAAAAAAGGATAGATTTTTTTTTTTTAGGTGGAGACACAGGTGCCCACTGCAAACATATAACCACTGCTCTTACCAAGACATTTGGACGCCTGGCGTCCGAAGTGCACGGTATCCAGACACACAGCGCACTTTGTGGCTCGCATGTTCAGTCCCACATTAAACCGGTGAGGAATATTGTGGTGCATGCGCTCCTTAAGACGCCGGTTGAATTCTGGAGGAAAATTTTAAAAAATCATTAGGGTGCTATAAATTAAACCATCAAGAAAGTGGAAAGACAACCCACAGAACAAGAAAAAATACTTGCACGTCATCTCTCTGACAAGGGACCTGTAGCTTGACTATATAAAGAACTCTTACAAAGCAATAATAAAATGACATATAACCTAACTAAAAATGAGCAAAGGATCCCAATAAGCATCTCTCTAAAAAAGATAAATGACCAACAAACAAATATAAAGGTGCTCAACATCATTAGTCACTAGGGAAACACAAATCAAAACCACGAAGAGATACTATGTTCATGCCCCAAGAAGTCTAAAATTTTAAATATGGAAAATAAGTAGTGAGGATGTGAAGACATTGGAATCTGCATACATTGCTGGTTGGAATGTAAAATGCCAAGGCCACTTTGGAACCCACTCTGGCAGTTCCCCAAAGAGTTAAACATAGGATTACCATGTGACCCAGAAATTTCACTCATAGGTATATACCCTTCAGAATTGAAAACATATGTAGCCACAAAATGTGTACATAAATGTTCATAACAACATTATGTATGACAGCCAAAAAAATGGAAACCCAAATGTGCTATCCATACAGTAGAATATTATTCAGCCATAAAAATTAAGTATGATGTGGGTGGATCTCAAAATTTTATGCTCAATGAAAAAAGCCACATATGGTTTGATTCCATTTACATGACATGTCTAGAATGCAAATTCAGAGACAGAATGTACACTTGTGATTGCCAAAGGTTGGGGGGAAAAAGAAGAAATGGGAAGTGACCGCTAATGAGTATATGTTTTTTTTGGGGGGAAAGGATGGAGCCAAATATTAGAATGTCATCGTTATACAACCTGATAAATTTAACAAAATAGACTGAATTATACATTTCAGTGAGTACATGGTATGATATGTGAACTTATCTCAATAACATTGTTTAAAAAACTATTACAGCAGGTTAGTTACAGATGGGGGAACTTAAAAAATGTTTAATATATATTTTTTATTGATTTCAGAGAGAGGAAGGGAAGGAGAAAGAGAAAGAGAGAGAGAGCAATATTGATGTGAGAGAGAAATATGGATCCGTTCCTCCTGTACCCACCCCGACCAGGGATCAAATCCACAGCCTAGGTATGTGCCCTATTGCCCTGACCAGGAATCAAACCCACCACCTTATAGTGTGCTGCGTGAAACTCCCACCAACTGAGCCATATTGACCATAGTGGGAAACTATTTTAACACTAACAGATGCATCTAATTTAAAATCTCCATTTTATGGTTACCAGGAATTAGGGGTTTTTAAAGAAAGTAGGTCAACTAATGATAGCATAGATGTTTGTGAGCATAAAGAAGCATACTTTTAAGTCAAATGTTTGTAAATATCTTAGTAATGAATTCTTTGATTTCCCAGGTGAAACATATATATCTAGAACATTTCAGAATCCAATTTAAAAATCACGAATATCTAAGAATTTCTAATTATTAAATATATAAGCTGACTGAAGTATTCTCCCTTCATGTCTAGTTCTATCATGAATAACCTCATGTTAAAAACCCAACTTTTAAGCCTCAAGAAACAGATTTTTACACTTATATTCCTATCGGTTAAAATTAATAAGATGTTTTTTCCTTTTAATAGGTCTCCTCTCAATAGTGACCTAGAACTTAGCTAACTAGAGACAAAACTAAGGAATTTCTAAATACAAATTACACTTGCCACTTTAACATCACCACCCTTCCTTTGACACAAAGGTGTAAGGAATAAATGACATGCTCACGTGCAAGGCACCGCTCGAGCATCACAAAGTACTCGGCAGCCACTCTCCACAGCCCTGTCAACAGACCCAGAGCCAGGTCCTTTATTTCCTGCATTAACATCACCATTTCAGTGGCGTTAAGGGTAAAGGTCTTTGAATGACTCAGTGTTATGTAAACAGAGACAACAAGATGACATCATCATTGAAGGAAACCAGCAGAATGCCATCAAGATTTACAATATTTATAACAAAAGTCGGTTTGCTGGTGATACCATGATGCTAAATCACAGCTCTCCTCCACTCTCCCTAAGACTCTCCAGCCACCTTCTTTACGTCCTTTTCATCTCTGGGTGAACAGAGTGAGTGCTTCTGAGACCATAAAGAAAACTCCCCACACTGTTGGTAGGAATATGGACCCGCATGAACTAACAAGACTCAAAAAGCAATAACCTTCAGCCCAGTGACTCCTTTCCTCAGAGCACACCCTACAGCTACAAAGCCAAGAGGCGCAGGGTGTATGGCAACCAGCAACTGGAAATAACAAAAATGCCCTCACCAGTGCCTGGTTTAACAGGTGAGTCACATACCCACCTGGTGGAACACTATGAAAAGGATGGTCCATCCATATGTGTTCTTATGAACACTCTCAGATAACATTTTAACTAAAAGAAGAAAGGTGTTTTGTAGTGTATAACATAGTGTGCTCTGATATTTATAAAAGAAAAAAGGCCTAAGAAAAAGATGCTTATTTTCTCAGACTCACCTGTCTGAGAAATCTTTAAATATGATTAAATAATATAAAATATCAGAGGCCTGGTGCACGAATTCGTACATGGGTGGGGTCCGGCTTGCTGGCCCAATGAAAGCCCAATGAAAGTCCAATGGGGTAGAGGGACTGCAAGTGGTTGGCAGCTGGTCCCCTCCCCTAATCAGGATGTTGGGGGCTGGGCTGGCCAAGAAGGGGCTGATTGGGGCCCAGATCAGCCTGGTTGGCTGTCGCAGTGCATGTCATAGCCACCATTCATTCTGGTTGCTGGGCTTTTATATATATATATATATATATATATATATATATATATATATATGTGATTAAAACAGATATGCAGTTCCATGAATTACTGATGGATGAATACAATGGTTGACTCTGGGTAAGGGAACTAGGAGTGGGAGAATGGAGAGATTGGATTCTTACTCTTTATGCCTTAGTGTTATTACTTGTTATTTTTGCCCCATTTTTTAATGGAAAAAAATAATGTCAACCAAACTCCAATGGCTTGAGAAGGTACCTTCTGGAGTTGAAGACTCTTTTCTGCGGCTGGACGGCGGGGCGAGCAGGCTCATGGCACTGGGCTGGTGCTCAGGTGACCGCACGATGGCAGACATGGCGATCTGCTGCCTCGCAGTGGCTGGTGTAGATGGGTGCGGATGGTCAGTGACTTTCCGGTGAGCAGCTGGGGAGAGAGCAATCCAACATTTTGGTCAGCGAGTCACCAAGAGGCCCGAGCCAATGGACTGCCCCAAGCTGTCTTTCAAGGACCCCAAACTAAAAGGACACACATTGTACCAAATTGGCAACGCCAAGGATGCCATGAATTTTTCAGATTTTGGGTGTCTGGACTGAAAGCTCATTGGCCATAAATACCGATGCTGAACTGGTCTTAAACAACCTCCTTGGGACGGGTCCTAGCAGTGCAGGGAGAGTTGGGAGCCCTACCTTCCTCGCGGGCGGAGCGGAGCTCGATGCGAGTCTTCTGAAGGGCTTCCTCTAGCTCAGCACAGCGAGCTTTCTCCTTCTCCAGAGCCACCTTCAGCTCATTGTACTGCAGAGGAACCTGTGTGGGCAAAGCAGGGTCCTCTTTCCGTCGACTAAATAAACCCTAGCAATGGAAACAGAGATATCTCCTAACTCCTGGAAACTGGCACTTTACACTAGCTAAAGGACGCTGACTTGGGAGGAGCACACCACGAAAGCCAGGAGCATACTCACTGTAAGTGGATTTAGTAAAAATGGCATGTGAAGGGGGAGGGGAAGGGGCCACAGCCCATTCCAGCGGCTGGAAAAAATAGGGATGCGCAAACTTTCACCGAGAGGGTTTAAAGATGCTTGGATTGCCACCACCTCTTCCTTAAGCATTCCCCAGGAGGAGAGCCATTTCCTGATTCTTTACCCTCAAAAAATGGAAATGGAGGATGGAGTCAGGAGAGATGGTTCAGAAATCACTCTTGCCTTGAATTTGTCTCATGATGCTTAGTTACAAGACACAGAGAAGAGTGTTATAAAAAAACAGAAGCAACAAAAAATGGAATGCTAAAATTATGTCAGAATTAGGGAATTACTAAAAAAAAAAAAAAAATGCAAGTGGAGACGTGTTGTACATAGAAGATTTAAAAAAAAAAAAAAAAGGAAACCATATAATAATGAGACAAAATAAAAACAAAAAAATGGAAACACCCTAACTACATTAAGTGACATAATCAGATTACAGTCCACAGCTAAAATAAAAAAAGATTAAATATCATAAGCATAACAAACACAGTCACAGAGTATGCAAGCAACTCCTTCCCCTGCAGCCACCACTTAGGAGGAGGCTGCTTGTGAATGCTGCTCTTATCCTTACTGCAAAGGCAGCACCGGGCTCATGGAGACTGCGTACCCCTTCAAGCCTCAGTATTCCCACTCATCAGAGGTCTTTTCTGTGAAAGCCCTGCCTCTGCTACTCTGGAAGGAAATGGAATTCCTTAGAGACCTTTGCAAACTGAGAACACTTGGCCAAACCTCAAAGGAGGCCTTCAGTGGTTCAGAAAAGCATGTGCTGGCTTATTAAAAAAAAAAAAAAAAAAAAAAAAAAAATTCCACCCTGTTGGTTGGAGCATCTCTCATGCATCAAAAGGTCACAGGTTCAATTCCGGGTCAAGGCACATAGCTAGGTTGCAGGTTCATCCCTGTTGGGATGCATCCAGGAGTAACCAATTGATGTTCTCTCTCTCACATCGATGTTTCTCTCTGTGTGTGTCCTTTCTTCCCTGTCTGAAACTAACTAGAAAAAAATCTTCCAGTGTTCATCTCTATGATATGAAACCCTGCCCATAGCTGCTTATTTGGGAAGATTTTTTGGCTAATTTTTAACTTGTCTGGACAACTTCAAATGGATGGAGCAGTCCTTGGTGGAGGGTGCCACCGTCCGGTCAGGCACTTTGAACTGGTTACTTCAGCTCTCTGGGTCCCAGGCTCTTCATGAGCCAATCACAACGACTGGGCCAGGTGCTTCCTAGCCTTTTCCGGAGGCCCATCCACGTGGCCTGTAACCTCTCTGAAGTCCATACCCATGACCTGCTAATCCCTCTGAGTCCCATACGCATGAGCAGAGACCCCCTTTGGAGACCTGTATGGTGACCCATGTATAAACTTTTCTCTGCTATCTTCCCAGTCTCTTAGGTTTAAAATAAGTTACTCCCTTAACAGAGACAGGCATACAATCTTAAAGACCATGAACATAAAGTACAGAATTAATAATGATATCCTCTCTTTGAGGGTTATTCTGATTATCTCAAAACCTACATTTCAGCCCAAAATAAAATAACAAAATGTACATTTTGTTTTCTTCAATGTTCCCTGGGTTCTCTATCACCATAGTTTTCCCTGAATCATCATTATGGTCAAGCAAACTGTCAAATCCCCCCTTTCAAACAACGATGACCCACCTTTTTCTTTTTAGCAGGTTGGTCCATTTTGGCTTGCAGAAAATCAATAAGTTTGGTTTGTTGAGAAATAGTGCCCTCCATTTTCACTTTTTCATGAGAATAGAGAACCTGAAATTCATCAAAACAAAAGCAACCTCAGATCCAGAAAGAAGTACAGTAGGTCCTCGGGTTACGTCGGAGATCCGTTCCCACAGCGCGAGGTAACGCAACTTTCGCCATAAGTCAGAACCCACCTATGTAAGCACCTACGTCACTCAGATGGAGCACAAACACAGCAGTAATGAAGTGAAACAGTAAACAAAAATTAAAAGAAAGATAACAATTCCTGACCTTTACTTGTGGTAAATACAGTAAATAATGAAAAAACATTAAGCACATATGTACATATGTTGAAATGATGGAACTTTCTTTTTAACAAATAAATGGGAGATGGCGATGTATGTGCGTCAAGCCCGACGTAACCGAGGACTGCCTGTATGCCTTTAAATTTGATACTTTAAGAAAATGAAAAATATAGTCTAGGATACTAGCATATGAAAAGTCAACACAAACACACTCAGTCAATATTGATTACTCAGTCCTATTCTTATAGCCAAAAAGGTGTGTGTGTTGGGGGTGAGGGGAGGTAGACTGATGGATGGATAAACATGTGAAAAAGTAAAAATAGCAAGTGGTTGCCAAAACCGGTTTGGCTCAGTGGATAGAGGGTTGGCCTGCAGACTGAAAGGTCCAGGTTCAATTCCAGTCAAGGGCATGTACCTTGGTTGCGAGCACATCCCCAGTGGGGGGTGTGCAAGAGGCAGCTGATCGATGATTCTCTCTCATTGACCTTTCTAACTCTCTATCCCTCTCCCTTCCTCTCCGTAAAAAAATCAATAAAATATATTTTTTTAAAATAGCAAGTGGTTAATACTAGAATCTCAGAGGTAATCATTATAGAAGTTTTCTAACTTCTCTGAATATTTGGAAATGTTCGTAATGAAATACTGGGGGAAATACACAACATGCACCACATAAAGATACTGACCATTTCACCAGCTGGCTCTCAGCCACCAGGCTTTGGCACCGCAGACAACTTTTAAGTAAATCCCTTTGCAGGTCTCACCTGAATGTTTTCCAGCTGATATTCCAGATCACTCCTCTCAGTCTTCAGCAGATCAGCCCGATCTAGAGCTTCTTGCAACCCTTGAGTCAGACGGAAAATGTGATTCTTCTGCAGGTCCATCTGCTGCTGTAATTTGGCTTGCTGGTGGGAAGAAAGGCCAGAGAAGGGCTCACTCCACTCACAACATGTGTTCCCACACTGTCCCTATTACTGCTCATTTCAGGCCTGCCACCAAGAGTGCAGCTTCTGAAATCATCTCACTCCAGTATCAACAACCGTCTCCTATCCCAAAGCGACGCTGCCCAGGTAAAAAGGAATTTGCACAGAAACCTCTGACGTCCAGCAGGTCGCCAGTGCCCCCTGTAACTGGAGGTCCAGGGTGGGTCTGGCTCCCCAGTCAGAGCTGCAATGAAGGCTACTCGGCATTGAAGAGTGTGAGCCACGTGAGTTGACACCTAAGGCTGGGTGACTTTGTGCCTTGACAACCAAGTTCCAATTTGTCTTTATTGTTGGGTTTCAAAGCCTCAATTGCTGTTAGGAGAAATCACTTTGGCCAAGCCGTGAGGCCTATACAAGGGGAATCACATCACTTCTAACTGAGAGTCCTCATCAGGCTGAGGGACCCCGAAGAGCACGCAGTCGCCAAAACTGTAAGAAATACTTTCATTGTGTGGAAAGAGGAAGAGCCCAGATTCATACAAGTGTTGGTAAAACCCAGAGAGTTTTCAATTTAGGCTATCGGAAATGTAGTTCTGTGCTAGAAACCTCTCCAAACTTTGTAATGGAAAATCAACAAAAAAATAGGGCAGGCTATAAAGGGCCTGATTTTATGGCTCTCTTTCCTAAAACGCCTGTTTGTAAAAGGCAGAAGAACAGCTATCCTGACAAGACCCTGCCTGATTTCCTCCAGCCCTTGGGATACAGGCTGACCACACTTGCTGTGACCCAAAAGAGCCCGTCCAGCGGCCCACACCCTCTGCAGACTTGAGGACAGAGAGCTAATGAAGAAATTAATTTCACCATGATGCTTTCCCACAGACATTGGCCAATGTCCGTGCTCTCGGACCCAGCAGGCCGAGAGCTACAGCTGACCTTCTCTGTCTCACTTCACTCCCCTCCACCTGTTCCTCTGCCCTCCACTTGAGAGGTTCCTGATTCCTTGAGGCATCACAGCAAAGGAGAGGAAGTGTGTCATATGACATAGGGAAGCTCATATTGCCTCTTGGAACTTCAGTTTCTTCATCTGAACATGGGTATAACCCCTGCCCTCACTGGGGGACACACAGCAGGTGCTTAATGAGTTCAATGTTCTCTACCTCCTCTGTCCTTTCTTCCCTCCATCCAGCTCGGAGTTTTCTTGCCCCACCTACTCTGCCAGCCTCTCCCTTCTCAGTCCCCCATAAGTCAAGAGATGCTGTCATTAACCAGATATCACCTGGTCTGTGATCTAGCATGGAATTTCTGATTCGAACCACAGAACCCCCTAAAATACTTTAAAAAAAAAAAAAAGAAAAAGAAAAAGAAGAACAGCTAAGATAACCTATTTAAGGGAGCTACCCATCTCTCACAGCAGGAGTGATTTCTTCTGTAAATTACCCTCTTAAGTTTCTTCCCACTATTTTAGAACAACATTAATTACTAGGCAGGAAGCCGAGAAGCGAATGCTGGGAACAAGAGTATGTTTGGTGACAGCCAGGCCCAAGGTTTTTTTCTAGAATAAACACAACAACCGTTCCTTAGCTTTCCAAGAAATGGGCTGCTTAGTCACCATAATAAAAAACAAGTAAGAATGACATATGTAATCAATAAAATGTTTTTCAAAACCATTTACCTGCTTCCCAGAGAGGCGAGTGGAGGCTATTCCTGGCCAGTGTTAGACTGAAAGGAAGGCTTTAGCTATGTGCTTAGATCTGTCCCACAATTGTGAGGTGACATGAGACTGGGAAGAAGCAGGAGGGGTCGAGATGACAGAAACCAGAGCCTGTAACAACCCTGGTGGCTGAAAGGATGGAAGAAGACTAGCAAGAGAAAGTTCAATAGGGTGGTGTTTTTAAAAACGTCAACTGAATAAATACAAACACAAAGATGTCAACAAACAACCCACTTGTGGGAGGGCAGACGGTGACTGCACAGGCCAATGGTGTCAGTGGCAGGATAGAGCCCCGGGAGCCCAGGGCGTGGGCAGAGGTCACAGAGTTCAAAGGCAGGTGGAGGTGCCCCACCATATCCGTGCTTCCAGACCACAGACTCCTAGGAACTCTCTGGAAAGATCATCCACCAGAAAAGAACACTGCAAACTTGAAATATGCCATTTAGAGAAGACAAGGGGAATCTGAGTGGGAGCAGCTTAGACCACGTAGAGAGCATCAGTGGTACCTTACAGAACTGTCACAGAAAGGCACCTGGCACATAGGAAGTGCTAATTAAACATCAGCTATTCTGCTTAATAACCAAGTAGTCAATATTAATCTGCTATTTCAGTTGGGAATATCAGACTACATTCTATTTGGAAATGTTTCAACCTAACAGAACCAGTGAGTGGAAGTTATAAGTGTTAGCTCAACATAAGAAAGACTGTGAGAATCCGAGTTGCTGAGAAAAGGGTTGGGATGTCCTGAGTCACTGTATTTAGGCCGTGATTCAATGAGACCCACGTGTGAGGAATGTTGGGAAGGGATTCTCTAACTTGGATGGAAATTAATTTCATCAGGATTAGCAAATGGACTTCCATCTCTGGCATTCCTTCTAACTAACAGTGGCTGTGAAGTGTCATGTTGAAAAAGCTTCTGAGGCCATTTAGGGCCCACGAGGAAAGAATTGGGAGAAAGAGCTACCAGTAAAGTCTTGGAACAGTGGTGCAAGTGCTGAGAATTGGGGCTAAAAGACACATAAAAATTCCGTCCAGCTCTGAGACTCTGATTCTGGCCGCATTGACAAGCCTCTGTTTAAGATGAGGATACCTGGGTTAAGCCCTCTGTCACATGCTTGCAGGGTGCATACCTCAGCCAAGGAGCTGAGCCCCATTTTGGACAATAAAGATCATTCTATGTTTCATAATGGTTTCAACTGTCAGTGAAATTTGCCTCAAACTCAAGTGTCAGCCAGATGTCTGGGAGGTACAGAATGGGGAACTGGAAATGTTCTCATGTGGTTTAGAAGTGAGAGTGAGGGGACTGAATCTGGATTCCAGCATTCTATTCCGAGCATTGTCACTGACTCACCATGTAACCTTGGACCAAAGCACTGAGCTGTCAGGGCCAACTCTCCTTCTTTGGAAGGAAAATAGGACAGACGACATCACTGATTATCTCTGTTCTTTCCGTTTCCAACATGTGCTAAAGTGGGGACACTGCCTATTCATTCCTGATAAAAGACCACAATTCTCTATTTGACCACCAAGTAGGCTTCTATTTTTTTTTTTTTTAATATTTTAAGTATGTTTTTAAAATATACTTTTATTGATTTCAAGGAGGAAGGGAGAGGAATAAAGAGATAGAAACATCAATGATGAGAGAGAATCATTGATTAATCTGCACGCCCCACACTATGGATGGAACTTGCAATCCAGGCACATGCCCTGACTGAGGACTGAACCAGAACTTCCTGGTTCATAGGTCGACACTCAACCACTGAACCACCCAGGCCAGGCACAAGTACACTTTTAAATTTCTATTGGAGTGTTCTTAGTGCTGCCTTTAGTAAACTTCTCTATATAATTAAGTTTATTTAAATATTTCATGTGGCAAAATATATAGCACATAAAATGTAACATTTTAACCATTTTTAAGTGTGTCGGTCAATGGCACTAAATACATCCACATTGTTGTGCAACTATCACCACTTCTGTCTCCTGATCTTCCCCAAACTCCCACCCATGTTTTTTAAAGTATTATTCTATCAGACATTCCATATTTGCCTGCACAATTTTCACCATATTTTTTCAAACTTAATAGCACAGCACTATTATTTCTTCCAGCAGAGCCCTTTGGCAGCTATGGGTACCATACAATAAAACCTCAATTAAGCAGACAGGCAACTCTGGTTAATCGAAGTGCCAGGCTCACTATGGGTTAAAGAGAACACTCTGAAAGTCCAGCTTCTTGGTAGGTATCTTTATACAGTGTGTCTGTCTTGGTTGGTCCATTCTAATGAACAAAGCGAAATCATTAGTGATTCAACACAGAGGCCTTTGCTTGGGAGTAGGAAGTAGTTACCATTTTAATTAGTGATGTTCAGATTTCTGCTACAAAGTTCAGGAAATAGCAGAAGGGACGGGTTTAAGAGATCCCTGGAGCTTTTCATTTTGTGTCTCGAAAGCAGGGCATAATTTTTTTTTAATTGAATTATCTGAATGTTCAAGTCTCATGAAACTTGGTGCTCAACATAATCAAGTCTCTGCCCGTGCACACCGTGGATTTGCAATGATGTTCTACCAATTGAAAACTTAGCAGACTTTGGATATTAAGAACAATTTAATGCAATTTTCATTCATTCACATACTTAATAAACTGCACTGGGCGCATACCCATGGGGTCCACACTCTAGTAAGCACCGTGTGGGAGGGCGCAAATGTCAGAGGCCTTCTGGCCTTCATGAACCTTCTTTTAACGTGTTCGACATCTTCAAGGAAGTACTGCATGACCACTTCATTCTTCCTCAAAAATGCCAATTGCAAAATCCGAACGTCTAACTTGGACCCGACCACTGGAGCGTAGCAACTGTTCACTTCTGAAAGCCCGCCTGGCCCCGTGTGCCAGTTCCCACTCACCTCCTCCAGCAGCCGCTGCTTGAGCTCACGCTCGGTCTCCAGTTTCTGCTGCAAACTCCGGGCATTCATTTCAAGCATGGCATGTTTCTTCTCCAGGTCACTGAGCTGGACAGTGGGAAAGTGGCCATGAAACCACATTTAGGAATGTTGTATGCTAATGACTTTTGCAAATACCCACAAACCTTCACATGTACAGAATAACCAAGTTCTGAAGGTCAGAAAACACTATGTTTTAGAAGTTTACCACAAAAGTCCATGGTGGAGATAATAAGCCTGTGGAGGCCCTTTGTGTGAGCACCAGAGTGATCTGTAAGGGATGGGTCATATATACAGCTATGACAAGTTCTAAGAGAACAGCCGCTGAAGAACTTATTTATCTGACATACTGTGGTGAACGAAACAATAGTCATATGCCCAAGATACCTACTTCTTGCCCAAGATACTATTAGGGGCTTTGGGGGTAAAAGGACAACATGTTCTCTCAAGGACATCACATCAAATCACAAAGGCAAGGATGACCGTAGCTAGACACACAAAGAATGAGGCTGCTTGGTTAGATGTTAATTTTGATAAGAGGTACAAAGTAGAGAAATTCATGCTGAATCCCTGGTCATTGAGAAAAGATGGTCTCAGGATACCTGGTGTCTTAAAGGCTGGGTAGAACTTTGTTCTAAAATATTTTAAGAATAGTCAAATAGAAAAAACAAAACAAAACATTTTCTTTCTTCATATTAAACACAAAAGGATTCACTTATCTTTAAATAATGTATTTATTTTCATCACAGTTAAAAAAAAAATAATAAAGCCAGTATCAAGGAACTCGGGAACATTCCTGAGAGGCAAGCTCTAGCCTTGAATTTAATCATTGTATTTTTATAAAATTCTGGTAAGAAAATAATCAAGGTGTCCATAAAGATCTATGTTCATCACTATTATTTAAAATAACAAAAAAATTGGAAGAAGCTCAAATTTCTAACACAAGTGGAATGATGTAATTTGTTTTTTAGAACTACATGTTCAAAAAATATTCAATAAATCAAGGGAAGTCCTTAATATATGATGTCTAAAAAAGCTGCAAACTATTTCTATAGTAAGAACCTAAATTTGTAAATGTTTGTGTGCACACATCAACATGTCATGCAAAGAAAAGACTACAAATAGCTTTATCAATACAATAGTGGTGACGTATGATCAGTCACTTTTTCCTTTATTTTCTGTGGTTTTTATATCTTCCATAATGACCCCAAATAATTCCTTCTGTAATCTTATCTAATAAAAGAGTAATATGCAAATTGAATGTCACTCCCAACACATAGATGGCTGACCCCATGTGGTCACAAGATGGCTGGCAGGGGAAGGCAGTTGGGAGGGACCAGGCTTGAAAGGAGGGCAGTTGGGGGAGACTAGGCCTGCAGGGGAGGGCAGTTGGGGGTGATCCGGCCTGCAGGAGAAGGTAGATGGGAGGGGGGGTACCAGGCCTGCAGGAGAGGGCAGGTGGGGATGACCAGGCCTGCAGGGGAGGGCAGTTGGGGATAACCAGGCCAGCAGGGGAGGGCAGTTGGGGGCGACCAGGCCTGCAGGGAAGGACAGTAAGGTGAGACCAGGCTGGCAAGGGTGGGTAGTTGGAGGCAATCGGGCCGGCAGGGGAGCAGTTAGGCGTCAATCAGGCTGGCAGGGGAGTGGTTAGGGGTGATCAGGCAGGCAGGTAGGCAAGTGGTTAGGAGCCAGAAGTCCCGTATTGTGAGAGGGATGTCCGATTGCCCATTTAGGCTCGATCCCACTAAACAGGCAGTCGGACATCCCTCTTGGGGTCCCAGATTGGAGAGGGTGCAGGCTGGGCTGAGGGACACCCACCCCCATGCACGAATTTCATACATCGAGCCTCTAGTTATGAAATAACAAAGAGTTATACAAAATACAAAATTCAGATGACTGTACGTGGGTGTGAAAGTGTATTTGTGAGGTATATATGAAATTTCTCTGATCTTCACTTTTGTTATCTATAACACTGAAACATCTATTCTAAATCACTTTCAAAGATCTTAGATAAAAGCCTCTAAAACACTGGTATACCACTTTGTATATATAACATTAAGTCCATATAGCCTTCTAGAAATCAAGTGCCAGAAAACGACAGTTGTATGTCCCAACCAAAAGTTGGACTCGGGGGCCCAGACAAGGAGATGCTAAGAAATCACTGACAGGCTGTGATGCCCCAGATCCACACGACTGCCAACCATGGTGACACATATCTGTGAGACTTCCCTGGAATGAGTAAATGCCTGTTTATGGAATATGCTGACCATAGGTTGGATTTGAATTTTTGTTAACCATGCCATCGAAGAGAAGGAAATGAGGATGTTTTCCTAAAAGGCAGAGGGATGGACACCGACCTTGTCGGAGAGGCTCTCGGCTTTCAGCTTCTGCTCTTTGAGAGCCTGCTGTAGGGCGAGAATCTCGGCCTTGTGCTCCTTCACGGCCAGCTCAACCACCTGGCGCGACTCAGTGATCCGCTGATCAGCTCTCGCCCTGCCGGAGAAACACAGGCCCTCTCTCAGAAGCGCCTTCGCCATCAGTCTTGAGAAAGGAGGCTGGCCCATCTTTCGTCCTGATAAGCAACCTAACTGGCTGCAAGCTGGACAGATGCCCTATCCTGATCCAAACTATGCCTTGCTTCCTGACTTATTACAGAGCGGAGGTTTGACCCACTTCAGGCCTTGGGTAAAAATACTCTTAAAAAGTAAAGTTCCTGTTAGGAGTCGCTTGGAAAGGCTGTACAGGAAAGGGCATGCTGCCCAATGCAACTGGGCTGATGGGATGTGTCAACACTGCCACACCCTCCAGTGGGAGAAGAAACAGAATGAGGTCCTGATGAAGGACCACCATGTGCAGAGGATCATGGGAGACCCCATTTAAGCAGACATTTCCTCTCCTTAATGTATTTGCAAGATGCTGGGTGTTTTGTGTGCTCATCGGAAACTGAAACTTGAATCTGGTGAATGTATCTGTAAATAAGGTTAGAGAAAAGAAAAACTAGAAATAAACTGTTAAAGTCACTTCCCTTCCCATGTAGGTCTTAGGTTTTACATCTTCCACATCTGGCCGTATAGCAAGCTCCTCCATGGGCAATGCTCCCTTCCCTGCTCCAGGAACCCAAACCCGCCTCAGCCTTCAAAGGTAAACTCAAGGCTGTGTCCTCCAGAAAATCCCTCCCAATTTCTGCTCTCAGAAGTAATCTCTCCTTGCTCTGCCTCCAAACCACAAATGCATTTTTCCTGACATACTCCACTCTCTTATTTTTGGTGATAAACATTTGAATGCATAGGTTATCTCCTCCATTAGACTCTTAGCCTTAGCCTCTTGAAGATAAAAATTAAGAATTAGACTTTGTTCATCTCAGTATCCCACATAATACCAAATTGGAGGGAGGGTTATACTTGCCCCCTAAAAATATATATGAAATACCTACCTAAGCATATTCCATAACTACACCTCCTATGTGTGGCTGTGTCTTTCCTACTGCTGAAGCCAGACTCCAACCTCCAAAATTGTTTCTGAAGAACTCTAGAAACAGCGAGGGTGGGAGCTGGACTTGAGGGCTGGGGGAGATGTCTGTGTGAATGCAACCAGAACATACCCTGAAAAATTGGGGGCCCAAGAGTTTGGACAAACCAGCAGCCCCTCATAATCAGCAAATACCCTGAGTGGGAAGATGTGCAAAAAAGGGAATATTTCTCTTGAAATTTAATCTCTTGCTTCTAACCTTTTCTAGTTTAACTTAGCATAGACTATATGTAACATCAACACATTTAGTTGAGTCTCTTATGGTCAAGTAAACATAAAAAAAATACCAAAATGAGTCCGACTAAATGACAGATGTTCCTATGTACAGCTGTCTTGCTTAAGGAGCATCACAGGAAGGTGAGTGTTGGAGGAAGGTGATATTAGGGAGGTTATAAAGGATAAATACGATTTAGCTGTGCAGACAGGAAGTCATGGGGCTAGCTCTAGTCCATGGGGCTAGCACCACGGTACCTTGGTGCAAACTGGAAAAAGACTCTATTCCCATCTGTTGGCAAACTGCTGTAATATAGCAATTTGGTTAGAGCAAAACTTTCCTGTCGTGAGTGGGGAGACTGTCTCTTAACAAATATGCCAATTGGGGATGTCTCAATGTGAACGGCATGCCTCGAGCTATGCAGTACACAGGCTGCATGCGTGGCCTGGCAGAGCATTCTGTGCTGGGGGGACAAAGGTGAGAAAACAGAGGAAGAAGACTGCCTGGACTTACTATTTTTTTCCTCTGAAGAAAGAAAAAGAAAACAAAACTATCCTTGTAAAGCAGTTGCTCTCAACTGGGGATAGTTTTTGCACCCTCAGGGGTCACTGGACAATGTCTGGAGACATGTTTAGTTGTCACAACTTGAGAAGGGACATCAAATGGGTACAGAAAAGGGAGGATGCTCAACATCAGACTGCACACAGCAGCTTCCACGGCAAAGGTTACCCAGCCCACATTGAGAATAGGGCCAAGGCTGAGAAATCACCGGGTAGATAGAGGGAGATTAACATTACTCACAACCAGGATTAAAATAGTGATGGCTGGCGTGGCTCAGTGGTTGAGCTTTAACCTATGAACCAGGAGGTCCAGGGCACATGCCTAGATTGCAGGCATCTTATAATCAATTGTTCTCTCTCTCTCTGTTTCTCTGTCTCTGTCTCTCTCTCTTTCTTTCTCTCTCTCAAATCAATAAAAAAATATATGTATTTTTTAAATGGTGATGGTCTTGCTACAAGGCCACCATGGTAGGAAATCTGAGGAAAGAGTTTCTGCAAAGAAAATACTGACACATTTGTCCTGCTCTGGCTCCTGGGTCCTCCACAGAGTATACAGACACCAACAAGTGCCAAGAATCCAGGTGCCACTGACCATAGTGACAACTAGAGTGACCAGCCCATCCTGGTCTGCCCAAGGGTCTCATAGTTTCAGCACTGAAAGTTTTGTCCCAGAAACTCCTCAGTACTGGGAAAGCTGGGACAACTGGTCACCTGTTCAGCACTCTCAGGCGGTCCTGCTGTGGCCCCCTGTCACAGGCCCTCTACAAACAGAAACTCTCACCTGCTCTGTTTCTCAGTGTCCAGCATCCTCTGCAACTCTCGGACCCGACACTCAAACTGGGACTTCTCGTCCCCGAGGACGCTCCTCCACGCCTCCCACTGCCGCTCCTTTTCCAGCAGCTCGTCGTTCAGGGCCTCCAGGTCCATGACCTGCTCTTCCAGCATCGTGCAGGTGGTCTTCAGAGCTTCCATCGTCTGCAAACAGTACCAAGGGAGGGTTTCCTGGATGTTCCTTTGTTGGGTCAGTTTTAGAAAAGCACACCTTTCTCACTACAGCCTGAAACACAGTCTATCTTTTTCTTCTACCGATCAAGGGGACTGGACAAGAATTGATGAAAGGCCATTTCCACTACCATCTTCTCAGCAGAAACCAAAGCAAGGCCAGGGGGAGAAACTGCAAAGGACTCACATTAGCCTTCTGGAGCAGTGGTATTTTATTATCTTTAATTTTTATCTTTTTATTGATTGATTTTAGAGTGAGGGAAAGGGAAAAGAGAAAGAGAGGGGGGGCATCAATTTATTGTTCCACTTATATATGTATTGATTGGTCAATTCTTGTATGTGCCTGACCAAGGATCGAACATGTAACCTCCAGATAATGCTCTAACCAACTGAACTACCTGGCCAGAGCTACTTTTAATTTAAAAAAATCAAACCGAAGAAGAACTACGCACTTTAAGAAACCATTTTTAAAACCCTCAAGCCTTCAAAACACAGACATGGTTATAATAAGAGCCTTTTCCCTGGCCCGGCTCAGCCTGGAAGCTGAGAGTTTCTGTTTGTAGGGGGGGTACACCAGGCATCACGCTGACCTGAGGGGACCAGGGATCGCTGACACCATTACTGTCCTTACCTGCTTCTGGCTGGTGAGTTGCATCTCTCTCTCCGAGATCTCGCGGCGGAGATGGTCCACCTCACTTCGCAGCTGAACTATCTCATCATTGGCGCCGGAAGCCTCGTCGAGTTGTTTGGACAAGAAGAAGTTTTGGTTGTTGAGCTCAGCATTGTCCTCCGTCAGCTGGTTTAGCTGCTCCTCCAGGTCTGTGATTACCTAAAAGATAAAAGCCATCGGTTACACACCACAAAAGTAGATTTTAATTGAGAAACTGCTTCTAGAGCCGTGGGTTTCTGAAGCTGGGGACACAGCTCCTGAGTTTGTCTCTCCAACTCCCAGAGTGGGCCCCAAACTCCTGTACCCGCCCACTGGGCACTAAGGCCCTCACTGTGAGAGGAGAGTCCATCTCGGGGTTCATCTGGAAAACATAGCAAAAGCAAATCCACCAAAAGTGAAGGCAGTACGGAAGGGGCCCCTTTAAATGAGATAAAGTTCATGGACAAAAATATAATGTGATAAATGCAAACTGAGGAAAGAGGCACGAAGACTGGTCTCACAACCAGCTAATTAAGCTAAAATGCTCACGACACCTTCTATAGAAACTATAGTTATACCTGGAGATAGTCTTAGCAAAATAAAGTAAAATAAAGTTCTTATCGAGGAAGACTGAGTGAAGGACACGAGTTATTTTAATAATATCTCATAATATTTAATTACATGCAAAAAGGAAAAATATTCTTCAGGGAAGCTCAGAGTAATCCTAAAAATACAATATTATACTATGTATGGTATCACTTTAATGGTTTTTATTATATAGTTCACTATCGGAAAAATGGGAAGGCGTGTATATGAAATTGTCATTTTATGAAAAAGATTTAATCGGGTTTGGCTAAATTATTTCCCCGCTCAATGGCAAAATGACTTCAACTTCACTGCTTTTAGCTTTCCTATTCTTTGCCGAGTCTCAGTATCAGCACTTGCAGACCGCTTTAACACACAATACTTGAGAACTTTAAGGCCAATTTTCTTATAATAGTTGGAATGAGGTGCACAGGCAGCAAATTAAATTTTATGTAACAAAAAGATGTAAATTAAAAGGAAATGCCTTTAAGTCTATGCTTATTAATTGTTTCCAATTTTCAAACCAAGAGTAGAGTTACTTTATGAAATGTTAACACTGTTTCCATGACTAATTCCCTATTTTAACCACCTCTGATTAGCGTTTAAAAAATATCTTCCCGGGCACATGGAAATAAAGAGCATCAAGTAAGTACATTTGTTCAATGTGGCTCAGAAAGCACAGCTTTTCATTTTGTTATCTGAGCTGATGGATTTTTAATGTAGTAAGTGGTCTAGAAATTTTAATTTTAATATCAGAAGCCACATTAATTCCTAACGTACTGGTTTGAAGTACACTGTCAGCTACAAACGGGGGAATAAAGGTTATCTGGTCAGGTTCTTAGCTGAGACTCCTTCTTCATGGGAGAGTGGAGATAGGAAAACACTGCATGCTTGCCATTCCTATCAGGCAGCTATGACTCATAGGGTTCCCTGAATCACCCTGTCTGTGACATGGTTAAAGCTCCTCAAACCATCTATACAAATATACAAATATGTAAATTGGCCATACCTCAGTGATGCAATAGCCAATCAAGAGTGAGTATGCAAATTAACACAACAAAGGTGACAGGCCTCTGGGCAGCATGCATGTGTGCAGGTGCCTAGTGGCCAGGAGCAGAGCGAGATGCTCCCCGGCTGCTCAGGGCCTACCTACGCAGGCACTGAGCGGCTGGGGGTGGCATGAGACACCCACCCGCCCTCTGCATAGTCGGGGCGACATGGCAGGCATCCCCGGGATCCTGCCCGCTTTGAGCCTGTGGCCAGTGCACATGCACACTGGCACTGAGCGGCCAAGGTCCCGGGAACGCCACTGGAGTGTCCAGTCCTTTCAGCCCAAGCTGGGGGTAGGGTGACTGGAGTTCGCAGTCCTTTTGATTTGTGCAGCCCTGGACCCGAGCAAAAACCAAGAGCGTGGGGAGCACCAGGAATTCTGGGAATCATAGTTCTGGTGGCAGACGCCTTGCGGGCTCTCCTAGACACTAGAGCAAAGTGAGCCTGGAGCAAGTTACTATTGCAGGTGGGGAATGGAGAGAAAGCAAAGGTGAGAGACATAAGTAAAGACAGAGTGTCGAGGAAAAATTAAAGGGAAGGTATCCTACAACTTCTAGGAAATCTCCACCAATGGAGCAAAGAAAAAAAAAATCCCTCTATTATTCTGTGAGCAACAAACCAAATTGGGTTGGGGTCTCAGATAATTCACTCATATGATTGCCAAGGACAGACAGAAACTCCAGGATTGAAGAGGGCTCCCCTGAGGGCTCCCAGATTGGAGAGGGTGCAGGTCGGGCTGAGGTACACCCCCCCACCTTCCATGCACAAATCTTTGTGCATTGAGCACCTAGCAGATAAGTGAATAAACAATACTTAATAATTCAACTGGTCTCTTTCCAATAGGTAGTAAACCCCACTCCTTAAGATCATTTTCATAACAGACTACAAATATCCCCATCTATAATAATAATAAAAGGGTAATATGCTAATTAGACCAGACATCATTCTGGACGTCCTTCCTGATGAAGCCAGGGACAGAGGGAAGCCAGCCTGGGTCCCAGGTGCCAGAGGGAAGCTGGTGCTGGCAACTGGGGTAAGGAAGGCCTACTCTTGCATGAATTTTTCTGCATTGGGCCTATAGTCTATATATATATAAAAGGTTAATATTCAAAGTGTTGGGAGTTCAACCAGGAGACTGGGAGTTTGATTGCTTGCAATGACTTGTGCTGACCAGCAGGGGGTGGCGCGGAAAGTGGCTGGCAACCAGTGACAGCGGTGGGGTCATTGAGGAAGCGAGGGAAGGAGGCGGCGGGGAGGTAGGGAACCTGATCAGTCCTGATCACCGGGCAGGCCTAGGGACCCTACCCGTGCACCAGATTCGTGCACTGGGCCTCTAGTTTAACTATATGATGCTTCCTTCTGCCTCTTTTCCAAAAGAAAACAGGATTGAGACAAAATGGCCCAGAAGCTAAGCATTAAAATGAATTCAGGAATCCGAAATTAGCAATGTTGGACTTTACTGGGTTGGTTTCTCCATCTGTGACATGGAGATAAATACTATCTTCACTACCCTTCCGCTTCTATTGACTTAATGCTTTGAATTTCCTTGCCTACCATTCCACCTTAATGTACCATATACAAATACAAGGGATAGCCCTAGCTGGTTTGGCTTAGTGGACAGAGAGTCAGCCTGTGGAATGAAAGGCCCCAGGTTCAATTCCAGTCAAGGGCACATGCCAGGGTTGTGGGCTTGGTCCCCAGTAGGGGGAACGCAGGAAGCAGCCGATCAATGATTCTCTCTCATCACTGATGTTTCTAGCTCTCTCTCCCTCTCCTTTCCTCTCTGAAACCAATAAAAATATTTCTTTAAAAAAAAAAAAAATACAAGGGATAAAAATTAACGACCAAGATGATGTTTCATTGTAAAGATTATAATAGTGCCTCTTGGGGAGCAGGAACTACAGAAAAATTGTTCATGTAAGAATATGCACACTGCCAAAACAGGCTCCTTGCCATCTGAAGACATATTTAAGTCTTTGGATAACCACTTCTTTTGAAATTTACGAAAAGAAAATGCAGTGTGCTATAAATCAATTTCTGCCACCTCTTCTCTTTCTCCCAAAATTAATTTACAAGTTGCTTAAGAAGAAACACTGGGAAAATGTCAACGACGTGCCAAGATGTTACTCTCACTTCAATTGAAACGGGCCCACTGAGGAAGCATCCTTCTATTTCTCTGTTGTCCTTTGTTGTTTTGTTTGTTTGTTTGTTTGTTTGTGGAGGGATCATGTCTCTGATTCCTACTTAACAGTGTATGATTGCTGGTTCTAGATCCTGGCACTGCCTCTATGTTGCCGATGGATAAGAGGAGGAGGTGGTGTTTGTGGGAAGCACCCATGCACTCATTCAAGCATTTTAACTCATTCAGACTTTTCACATATTCTTTCTACTCACGCCAGAACATGTGTAGCTTGTGACTCTGTTTCCAGTTGCTGGAGTTGTGGTATTAAGTGTTACACACACACACACACACACACACACACATTTGAGTTTGCAGATATTGAACTGACTTGAGACAAAGCAGTAAATTAATGGTCTCCATGGTTTAAAAAAAAAGTATAATAATAGACTTTTATAATAATAGGTGATTTTGAACCAGATAATACACAAGAAGTATTGGGTATACTTTGTGGCCTTTGGTTATTCTTTCCACACCAAGGGGAAATGATCTGTATACTATATTAGAGTCTGTTAATCTTTCATCTCCAAAGATAGAGGATAAAGAAGATAAACTGAAAGCCTGATTCCATCTTAATGGCAGGAAAGACGAGGGAGACGGGCCACCAGAGCTTTATTGTGTTCTGTTCTTGCAGATAAGATATCTTGGTGCAGCTCTAAGAGAAAACAGGTTATAAAAAATTCTCTTTTGAAAAAAAAACCAAAAATCTCTATTTGGGGTTATCTGTTGCTTTTCAAGACTTTCATGCAAAACTCCTGGTTCCGAGAAACAGAAGTTAATGGAGATCTCCCACCTAGCGAGGGGCGCCAAGGGGAACGTTACCCGTAAATGTCCGTAGCATGTGGGAGGTGAAGACACCAGTCAGGTATGAGCACCAGGCTACAAAGATACAGGCCTGAAGTCCTATTTTAATGCCTGTTTTTCTCTTGAAGGCAGCTATTTGCATATTATTTATTTTTAATCTTATAGCTGGCAGATTGATTCATAATTAAAACTGTGTCATATGTTTGCCCACCAACTCCCCTCCAAAACAGACTTAGGTAGGATTCAAAGATCTATATTTTGAATCAAATCCTCTTTTTATATCTCTTCAAAATATAGAAGTGGTCAGAGCTTGAAAAATCTTACTGTTCATGGGCTTTTTAAAAGCTGCTAACTGGGAGCTTCTATCAATTGATTTAGGAATTCCCAACAGTAATAAAGACACTCTAGTGGACGATCTCGAACTGCACGGAGAAAGGAACATTTACTGAGATGCCTTGAAAGCAGCCTTTGAACTTGCGAAAGAATAACTGAGATTGACAATTGTTGCCAAATATTGTTCCATAAGGAATGGATTTCAAACTTTTCTAAGGAGCAGAATCCTTTTCTAAACAAAGTTTTTACTTTTATGTCAGAAGTCCAATATCCTATATAATAAAAGCCTAATATGCTAAGCATCTGGTCATCTGGTTGTCCATTCAACCAATCAAAACGTAATATGCTAATGATATGCTAAGGAAGCTCAACAGATTGTTATGACATGCACAGGCTCTCCAAGGCTCTGACCAGTAGGTTAACTTACTGCTGGGGTCCGGCCATTTGGGACTGAGTGAGACAGGCTGGACACACTCTGGAGCCCTCCCACAGTCCCTCCCCAGCTGGCCAATCTCCTGCATCCCTCCCTGGCCCTGACCGTGCACTGGTGGGGTCCCACATCCTGGACTGCACCCTCTCACAATCTGGGACTGTTGGAGATCCAGTTTTGGCCTGATCCCACAGGCCAGGCCAAGGGACCCCACTGGTGCATTAATTCATTCACCAGACCTCTAGTAATAAAATAATGATAGTAACCAACAATTTAGCATTTTCTATGGACCAGGCCCTATGCAAACACTTGGATGCATCATCTCATTAATTCATGTAGGAACCCCATGAGTAGGTACTATTACCAAATTTCTGATTCTATGACTCAGTGTTCCCTAAGATTTACGGTTTCTGTAATTTGGATATATTATATATTGGAACTAAGCAGCTATCTTTCTTCTCTTGCCCAGGCTTCAAAGAGCAGTTATTAAATAAATTATATCTTACAATCCATGATGTATGGGAATCAAGGAGAGTCTTAGCTACATTTTATAGGTAAAGAAGTAGAGACTTGGGAGATAACACCACATAGGCTCCCCAGAGGCCAATTCAGAACTGGAGCCTGTTCTGCTAACACGGGAGAGCCGGTGTGGACCCTCAGCGGCCACTGCTGTGGGCGGGGCCCCTCCTTCCACCTGTGAGGCCCCCAGAGCTTCTCTACGGAATGCCGGGGGTAAGGAAAGGAAGGGTTACATGTCAGTGTTGCAGAAAAAAAAGCAAGTTACATAAGTTAAGAAAGTAACCAAATTCATTCTACATATCGCCATATTCTATTAAAAACTAAATTTCCAATTTTAAAAATGTGGGGGAGAGTGGATGACAAAGGAGCACAAGGGAACTTTGAAGATGATGGATATGTTCATGATTTTGAGTGTTGTGCTGGTTTCATAGATGTACACACACTTGAAAATTCATCAGAGGATTGTGTGCCAGTTACAGACACCTCAATAATAGTATTAAATTTTTTATTTTAATTTTTATGCCAAAGACTAAAAATGAAGAAAGGAAACCTGCAGATGAAGGATTACTGATGTATATACTGAAAATATATCCAAGTTTATTTTAGGAAAATGTAGTAATCTAAAAATACCACAGCCATAAAAAGATCTATATTGTATTCAGTGATCATTTATGAGCATGTATATAATATAAGCAAATAACTCTTGTGTAAATAAGAAACCAAGACAAAAAGAAACTAAAAAAAGAGGACAGGCCCAGAATGCGTCTATTCTTCGAGGAAGGGAGGAAGAATGGAGGAAATCAACAGACATTCCTAAGGTGGGCCCATCCTGGTCCAGCCATCAGCACCAGGAAATAACCAAAATCTACCTGCCAGGTGACTACTACTGGAGTCAAACTAGTAGCACATCGTGTGACCTAGCCATTCTGCTCCTGGGTACATGCTCATCAGAAATAAGTGCTTATAAAAATAAATAAGTAAATAAGTGCTTATAGCCACCAAAGAATGTGTACGAGAATGTTCTCTAACAGCTTTACCCATAGCAAAAACAATACAAATATCCATCCGCAGGAGAATGGGTAAACTGACTTCAGCTCTAGTCATATATTGGGAGCACCACACCATAATGAAAAATAACAGATTTTTGACAGACACAACATGGATGGACCACACAGACAATTTAAGAAAGAAAGAAAAATGCTAAACTCAAAAGACCTTCATTTAAATGGAGCTTTAAAAATAGGCAAAACTGATCTATGGTATCAGAGATCAGAACAGCAGTTACTCTTGGGGAAAAGGATGCTGATGAGAATATGAGGGACCCTTCTGGGAGCTGAAAATGCTCTGTATCTTAATCTATGTTGTGGCAACGTAGATTGTCTATACATGTAAAACTTTTACACTTTATATTCTTTACTTTATGCATTTTATACCTAAACTAAAGGGGAAAGCATTAGGATTTAATGCCCCACTATAGGTAATGAGGAAAGAAAGAGTTCATTACAAGAAAATAAAACACATATGAGGGAAATTCACAGATGCGAATAATGCAAATCGAAAGAAGCTCATCTAGGACTGACTAGGAGGTAATAAAGCAATGAAAGGACCAAAAAGAAAGGCAGTGCAACCAAGGGTAAAGATAACATCCCTCTCTTCTAAAAGAGGCCTATTTCAGGCCTTCCTTTTCAGCAAAAATAGACTTTGCATTTCCATTGACCCAACCCTATTATATAATCTATGAATGATACTTATCTGTGCATAGGGTTTATTTTTCTCAATATAAATAACATCTTTTAAAGAGTCCTAGATTTTAAATTTGCATGGAAGGAAGCCAGATTTTACCTCTTAGGAAGTTAAAATTTCTAGATGTTTCCTCTGCAGAGACAGCAGGTTACAGAAGACTCTCCGCAAACATAACTGCCCCTACACAATCTCTGGCCTGCACTAGCCTGGGAACCTTCCACCTGGGAAAAGGAGGGGCAGCTGCTTGGGACTTTTGTTGCAGCTACTGAAACCTATTGGTGGTTGTGCAATGAGAACTATTTGGACCACTCCAGCTAGCCTCCCTCCAGCATGAAGAATGCTTTTAAATGTTTAAAATAGGCAGACACCCGAGAAACTGAAGTTATCTGGGGCTCAGAAATGCCAAATCGGTTTGACAGCATTAACTGCTTCAAGCTGAGAGTTTGTATCAAAAATTAGTCACTGGTATCATGAAGAAATGTTCTCTTTTTCTCCTTGGATTTAATGTTACGCTATTTTAATCATCTTTGGTTAATACTCACAGTACAGCTGTTACGAAGGGCATCAAATTTGCGCTGGATTTCATCTCTATGTGCCTAAAAGGTAAGAAGTTGATTATAAATTTTCCATAGGGAGGAACACAATTGTACACACTACGGGTCAAATAAAGAGAACAGCATTTGCCTAGAAAGCCAAGAATGCTGATGCAGCAGCCTCGGCATCTGTTTTCCAAAGGATTGATTAAGTCACCCCCAATATCAGAAACAAAAGTTACAGAAAAACATGATGCTGCGTTGATAACAATTAACTATTTTTTAAATTTTAATTTATTTTTCAATTACAGTTGACATACAACAATGAACTACTTAGACCACGCATGCCTACCCTTTACAAATATATTTGAACATTCTCATTAATGCCTAGGAATGAGTAGGAAAAAAACCTAATAAAGGATGAAGTCTTTACTCTCCTTCATTTGTCTTGTTCCCCAACCTTAACCTTTCCCTCTTCTCGCTACTTAACCCTCCCCAACCAAGTCTATTCCCAAGAGAGACAAAAAACACACAGACACACATACAGGACAATAGCCAGGACAAAGTAGGAACTTTTTTTTTTTTTTTAATCAAAAGCTGCTGCGATTCAGAAACCCCATAGTGATCTTGAAATAAATACAGAGGTAGATCTGCTTCGTTCAGCTGACAAGGATTTTTTGAGAGCATACTACATGCCAGACACTGTGATAATAGAGTGCATGTAGGGCCGACAACTTCATTCTGGTGAGGGGAACTAGAATATAAGTAACTGCGTGATTACAAAGCGTGGCAAATGCTATGAAGGAAACAGAAAAAAGGGAACAAGGGGTTAAGAAGGAACTCACATAGATGGGTGGTCACAGAGGCTTCCCTGAAGAGGTGACATTTAAACCGAAACCTGCTGGGTGAGGAGGGGCCAGCCATGCAAATAACAGGAAAAGGCAAAGGAACAGTATGTGCCAAAACCCTGAGGCAAGAAGGTGTTCAGTGCACTTGATGAACAAAAAAAGACCCAAGTGGCTACAGCAGAGGTTTTTCAACTTCAAGCTGTGCCCCAATGGTGAGACTAAGTGGGATTTTCTGGTTTGTTTTATCCAATGAAATGGAACAAATAGGACAGAATATAAAACACATTACATGGTTCCTTTTCTAAAACAGTAAGCCCTGTTGTAGAAAATTTGTCTAAGATAGCATAATTCATCCCATTTAAGTTGCTATCAAGTTGTAAGACTATCATAATTTTATGTAATATTAAAAAAGTGCTATCGACTAAACCATGACATATTTATGTATATACTATAAGCCTAATGCACAAAATTCATGCACTTGGGGGTTGGGGGGAGCTTCCTCAGTCTGGCCTGCACCCTCTCGCAGTCTGGGAGGCCTTGGGGGATGTCCAACCGATGGCTTAGGTCCGCTCCCCATGGGAGCTCAGTGGCTGAGTTGGAGCTCCCCCTGTGGGAGTGCACTGACCACAAGGGGACAGCTCCTGCATTTGACATCTGGTGGTCAGTGCACATCATAGCGACCTGTCGTTCAAATGTATGGTTGATTCGCATATTAGCCTTTATTATATAGGATGACTATATAATCATATATAAGTTATGATTATAAGATGCATCCCAATTTTCAGTACCTTAAATTCAGTGAAATACACTACTACAATACAAGGTAAAATGTATCTTTGATGAGTTGTAGCCAAATGATTTTTGAAAATCACCTGGCTCAAGCAAAGACAAGGAAAATGTGGCTCAAGATGATGGTGGAGAGGCAGGCAGGGACCAAGAATTTGAAGGCCCAGAAAAGTGTTTGGATTTCATTCAAATTGCAATTAATTGAAAGCCAATGGTGTTTTAAGAAGCAGACTTACATGATATGATTGTCATTGTGTGGAAGCCACAGGAAGAATAGATCAAAATAGGACAAAGGTAGAAAGAAGCAGGGAAACCACTGTCATTCAAGGAAGAGAGGATGATGGCAAAGACAAAGAAAAGTGAATGGTCTGCGATTTCTTTTGGAAGCAAATGCAGTAAGACCTGCTGATGAACATGGGGGCCAAGGGAAAAGAAGAGTCAAATCCTTACAGCCTTTGGATTTGAGAGCTAACATATATTATGGTTTATTTTGCTCAGAAAGCCCAAAGGCAAAAGTAGTCCTCTTAAATTAAAAAAGAAAAGAATTAGCGTTGGCTGGTTTCTCAGTAGTTAGAGCATCAGCCCATAGACTGGAGGGTCGTGGGTTCAAATCCCAGTCAAGGCATGTACATAAGTTCAGGTTTGATCCCTGGCAGATGCAGGAGGCAACCAATAGATGTGTAAGAATACTATTTACCCAAAGTAGGAATGTAGCTATCTACACTGCTATTGAAATCTCATCTGTGAGCAAGCAGAGCATCTGGCCCCAAAGACCATCCAACCCCTGTGAGTGCATTTCATGATCACCGAGGACTCTTCCTAAAAGAAGAATAAGGCCCATCTACCTAATAAAAGAGCAGTATGCTAATTGGCTGTACCTTCATGACACCCACCAGCCAATAAGGAATATGCAAATTAACCCAACAAAGATTGTGAGTTAATTTACATATGCATGTGCAGAGCAGCCAGGGGCAGGGCGGGATGCTTGCATCGTTGCCATGGTGATGACGCAGGTGTTCTACACCACCCAGCCGCTCTGGGCCTCTGGGCAGCGTGGGAAGGCGGAAAGGCAGCTCCGGGCTGGAGCAGAAAGTCAGATGCAGGCTGGAGCGGAAAGGCAGCTCTGGTCCAGAGCGAAAAAATACTCAACTCTGCCCTCATAACACAAGAGCAGCCATACTCAATATGTAAAAAAAAATGTCAATAAAACTTTACTGACAGGAAAGAGGAGGCAGACTAAATTTGACTCACTGGTTATAGCTTGCCTAACCCTGCTCTAAATGACTATGTGGTGTGAAATCTCTCAAAGACAACAACAAGAAGCTGAGGGTAGAGTTAATTCCTTCAAAGCCTAAACGGTGATCCCTGGACTAGACTTAGGGAGAGATGACTTATTCCACCTTCTTAATAACAGCAAAATTTCTAATACCACACCACTAAAAACTTATTTAACGGCCCCCACTTGCAGTCTGAAATGTCAATCACTAATACTGTTTCATTTTCTTTGAAATTTTCCATCATTGAGGCATTTGGATTATTTTGACACATCAAATGGCAATCCTCTTTGAGGTTATAATGTAATAAATTATCATCACTATGGCTTTTGATTTATTATTGACTATAAACCATAAACCCCAAATGTAGAAACAATCCTGTTTTGACTGCTAGAAATACTGTAAAAAATTTAATAATTATTGGGTTGATCTGGGTTAAAAAAAAAATGTCACGAAATATGTTTTACGTTTTTGTGAAGTAAGTTATAAACCAACTATACAAAAAAGCAAAAGGTTGAATAATAGTATATTATAAGGATAATGAAATACATAAAACAAGGTAAAATGTATTTAGATTCTCTCAATAAAATAACTGAGTGCTAATTAGACATTAGGTACTACAGGGAATAGGTATTCTTAAAAATTATTGAGGACCCCAAAAAGCTTTTGTTTATGTGGTTTACATCTATCTATATTTATCATATTAGAAATTAAAACTGAGATCTTTTTCAAATATTTGTATTTTATTTCTTTTTAAATAACACTAACTTTGCTTTTGCACCATCATTGTGTTAACCCAATAGAAAATGTCAAATGACATCTTAGTATTACTATGAAAATAGTCTGACCTTGGGGACCATCAGGCATCCACAGACCTATCTTGAGAACCACTGAGCTAGGGGTTAGGTGGCAATAAGGTAGAATGGACAGGCTGCAGCCTGCAGAACAGACAGCCACTCTCTTTGAAGAGTGCTTACGTCTTCATTAATTTTAAGGAAAGTTACAAGCAGAAAGATACGAGAATTAAAACACAGCCTTGATGAGAGAAAATATCTGCAGAGCTGAGCAAAGGAAACCAGTATTTAGATGTCTGACCACTTCCTGGGATCCATGGTCAGGATTCTAGAACACTCAGGCTTCCACGCATCCACCCCTTTTTCTGTGAAGGCAGGCACCAAGCAAGACTGTCACCTTTCATGCCCCAATTTCACATCTTGGCTATTACATTGATGGTTTACTAATTAAATACAGGGTTTGATATTTATTGGGGTGAGGAGAAAAAATGAGAGCGTGCATTGACTAACGATTTTAACTTATCACAGGACCACTTTGGGGTTTCATAATCACAGAATGCTGGGAAGACTCCTCTCATTATTGTCTCTGGCTTTAGCTTCTTGGCCAAATCCATAAGTGCTATCAGGAGGGAAGGGACGCGAAACATGTTCGTGGGCCTTGCAAGTGTACCACACCTCTACCCCATGGCACCATTCAGGTGACGCCGACATCATGTCACATATCTGTGTGCTCTAAAGCGTACAGACTCCAATTCTCTTCCTTACAAGACAGGACGACATGGAGTCTTAAATTTCAAGTCCAGGCAGAAAATACTCTCTCCTACCAATAAGCATGGAAGCATCTTGAAAGCATGGATTTTTGCTTAAATTTAACTCTACCTTGATTTAATCTCAGCCAGTAAATTTCAATGAAAATGCAATTAACAGGATGGGTAAAGTGAGAGTGAGGAAAAAGAAAGCAGAAGACCAACACTGGCTTCCCAGTGGCCCCTGCCAAGCTCCTTCAATACTGATCTTCAATTTAACAGCGATCCATCTAATTTGGCCCAGAAACAGAGGCCAAATGGGGTAACTACTCCTTCCCAGGCAAGGAGATGGAGGCCTCTTTGAAATAAGCAATAATAGCCCATTTAACTATTCGCTTTTATTGATAAAACAGCCTGCTGTGAAGCTGACAAGCCTCCTGGGAGATCATTTTAGATCTGGCTGATTTAATTTGATTGATGCTTTCGCTGGGTCTGAACCTGGGCCTTGAACAATGAGAGCAAGGGGGTCAGAGTACAGCATTTGTGACCATTTTCTCTTTCTCTTGGAAAACACATTCTTCAGACCAAATTCAACAAAGCCATTCAGGCAACAACCACATGTGGCCCATAACCAGGTTTATAGGACGTAATCAAAAGAAGTGGAGAGGAAAAACCCACGGCCTCAAACTGATGGAAGCAAGCTGACATGGAGCTGGGTTCCTGCGTGGTGGGCTTACAAACAGCTGTCTGACCAAAGGCAGTTTCCTGCCAGAACTTTTTAGAAGCCCCGTTTTCCATGGCATCATCATCTGCGAGACTGGGAGAGCCCTAGTTTCTAGGCCTCGGGAAGCTGTTTTTCTTTTTTTCCAAGAAGATGCTCTGAGGCAGTGATCTCATCTGACTAAATTAAGTCGTGACTTGCTGCTGTGCTAGGCTCCTAGCAGCCATTAGACACAGCATATTCCAACCAGCAGCAAGCAGGATTTAAAGACTAATTTCCCCACAGATAAACAGTGGTGACACAAGCTCTATTTCATACCCGCCTCTTCCAAAGGGAAGAGGATGCATGGCCATCACCCTCCCTCCTATTCCCACCGAGCAGAAAAATAATGTGTCTTCTTCCTCCAATGCAAACGGACCTGAGGGATGACAGGCCAGTCCCCTGGGGAGAGAGGCTAAAGACACAGCCCTAGGCACACCGTGAGGACTTACTAAGTATGGATTAAATTACTGAGTTCTCTTCCTTTCAGAGAGGGTATTTATACAGGGGCAAAATATCAACATACAATGCATTAAATAGAATTCTGGTTAGATTTTTGTGTGTCTCCTTTAGCAGCCAAGAAGAGCTATTTGGCTGTCTTCCTCCCCATCCACCCAACTCCAGAAAGTGTACAAGCCTTCTTTGCATTCACTCTTACATATTCATGTCATGCTTGCCTCCATTTTTCCCTTTTATAGTCTTATTTACTCTTTGCCTTTTCTTTCTTATTTATCCTGTTTCACTGTTTTGTACCTTTCTAAATTGCTTTCAGAACATTTTGAAACAAGGCAAAGTATAAAAAGATAGCATGACTACTTTCTTCCAAACAATTATTGGGGGCATGTGGCATCAGCAGTAAAGACAATGGAAATTCAGATTGTAGTCGGTATCTGAACTTAAAGTCCTGGAAAATCTAGGCATCACAAGTATCTTCTCCATATGTTACTATGTCACCCCCAGAATCCTGAAGTCCCTGTGTCCCAGACTGGTCCATAGGACCCTGGCACTGTCAGATCATGTTCCCAATGTGTTCTCCTAACCCAACAAAGGGAAAATAACTTCTAAGAAAGAAACTAGTTTAAAATATATACCAGATCATATCAGATAAATACATAAGACATAAAGCAGAATCTACAAATTAAAAAAAAATCATAAAGTTAACTAAAACAAATATAGAAATATGGTACTGTTAAGATTATTATTTTTTAATGATTATTGAAAATCAAAGTAGAAGATCCAAGTAAAAAGACTTTGGCTAAAACTGAAATTCCAAATATAACTGAAATGCAGATGAATGCACTTGAAATGAATATAATATTGAATGTCAACTGTAATTGAAAAAAATAAAAGAAAAAAATAAGGATGACTATTTTTTTTAAAGGGAAGATAAATAAAGGAAGACCTTTTCCAGGTGCTAAGGAAAGCTCAGATATTACCAAATGACTAAAACACTAATTCCAATGAAGGAGAACCTATGGGAGCCAGTTTAATGCCCGTTCAACATCTCAAGAGATGGCTGTTTTCTCTTGGGAAATGCCTAAGAGTGAGCAGACATCTTAGCACCACACTCATCTTCGCTGAGGCCGCCAGCGCTGCAGCCCGCCCCAGGCTTACCGTGAGCGCCTGGATCTCCTCTTCGGCTTCCGCGGTCGTCTCTTCCAGCTCCGTCTTGGCCTGGCGGAGCTGGCTCTCCAGGGCCGCCCGGGCAGCCTGCAGGGCTGTCAGCTGGGCCTCGCGCTCCTGCAGGGAGAGCTGCAGCTCTGTGAGCTGGCGCTTTAGCTCCAGTTTCTGCTCCTCATGCTCGAGGCTGACCTGAGACAGAGAGAAATGCTCAGGTGACCTTACCTATAAAGGAAGCCAGGGTGTGACCTGCTGTTGTTATCTTAAACTTGGTCATGGAATCAAATTCTTCAGCACTCGACTGAGGGGGAAACTGAAATTAAATAGGTCTGACTTCTATGAGTCTTGAAAATCAACAGGAATAAGAAAATGTGAAAGGATATATATTCAAACATTCCTTATTTACAAATATTCAAATGCTTGGGAAGGTTTCCAAAGAAAAACCATGCAACAATCTCCTCCAGGGGTCATTATAACAAGTGCTCTTATTAGAAAAGCATTTAAAGCAAGCAGATAGAAGTAACATCATATTAGTAAGAGGAATGCCTTCATAATTAGACTACAAATGGAACAACAGGCTGAATTCTGTGTATTTTAAATATTCTTGCTCTGATTTGTCCCATTAGGTAACCAGTTTTAATGTCACATTATGAATATTCTTCCTTCTATCTGCCCATCTAACCATCTATCTACTTAACATTTTCTTCATTCATATAAGAAAAATTTACTCAGTAACCTTGGTGTAAAAAGAAAAATGGAGATGAAAGACAGGATCTGCCTTCAACTTGAGAAGAACAATGAAAACCAACCATTATCATATGTTGTGGTCATGTGCAAGGGTCAAGACACGCAGGGATGTAATGGGAACACAGTGGAGGGTAGAGGTGGTGACTGCACTGTGTACTGAAGAATACAGGAAGCCAACAAGCAGCTCAGAAAAGAAAGAAAATTCCAAGCAGGGGCAGCAAGGCACCCAGAGGCATGGAGAGGAGGAAGACTGTGGCACATCTATTGACCTAACCAGCACTGACGATGCTGTACCGAGAACCAGACTCTGTCAGACACTGATTACCAAGCAAATGACAGACACTCACTGCCCTCAGAGAGCTCACTCTCCAATGGGACTGCCAAGAGGTACACACTGTGGTGATGAGTTACACGTGGAAAGCTGTGGGGACACAAAGGAGACATCAGATCCAGTTCTAGAGGACAGGAGAAGGCTTCCCAGAAAAGATGACCCTGGAGTACCAAAGGCCATACGGGTGAAAAGAAGAAAGACTTAGGAAAGATTTAGCCTAGAGAACTGAGAGAACTTGGTTAGTTCAAGGTGGAGCAGGGAACAAAGGACTAAGGTGAGTCCACGGTGAATCTGTGTTTCTGGGCAGGTGCATTACATGGAGGGAAACCATTGGCTAGCACAGGGAACACGAGAGGAAGAGCCAGTCTGAGGAGAAAGATTCAGTCTTTGTCTATTGAACTTGAGCAACAGGGAGACAGGCAAATGGAGATGTCTAATGTCTGCTGGGATGACGGCTCCGCAAGCGGACAAAGGTCTGGGTTGAGAAGTCAGGCAGCTGAAGCCAAGACTGTGATCTCTCTCTAGTGAGGATGAGAATGATGACGATGGTGCATCAACGACATGATAGCAGCAAATGTTGTTCTCACAGGAGCCAGGCACTGTTTTAACTCCTTTCATCTTCATAACAACCCAATGAGGCAGACACTACTATGACCTCCATTCTGCAGATTAGCAAACTCTGGCATTGAGATCAAGTAACGGGACAAGGGACAAACTTCACACAGCTAAACAAGGGCAGGGCTGGTTCAAACCCAGGAAATGTAGCTACACTACTTACTGGTGGCCTTATTAAAGAGCCAGCACTCTACAGCAGGCCTGGAAATTCCCCTGCCACTTGGGAAAACCTTGAGAAACAGGTGACAGCAGAGTGAGCAGTGGTGGGTGAGCAGGATGCTGAGCACTGACAGGAGAACCCAGGAGCCCTGCACAGTCAGGACTCCACACACTTTGCTAGAGAAGAGCTAACGCTGCACACACTCGGCGAGCATGAGGGCGCGCAGGCCCTTCAAGGGGAATCAAGCCAAGGTTGAGGCTTCTGCCCCCCATCTCAACAGCAGCAAGCAGCAGGGAGGGTGGACCTGCCTTTTACATTTAAAGCTCCAGAACTCCCAGAGAGCCTCTCAGCAGCATTCTAAATTTCTGCCACCATCCTTGGGGAATTAGCTCTATTAATTTAAGAACAAAGCAATATGCTTCCCAAAGGCATTTTAATTGCCCAGATGAGCTATACAGCCTCAGGGCAGAAGAGGTAAGAGAGACATTTGTGGAAGAGAAAGGCAGGCCATCCAGCCAATGTTCCCAAGCTCAGAGAAGTCTGAGTTATTTAGAGGGGAGTGGTGTTAAACTTACTGAGGAGTAAAAATATCGCCTGCGTGATAAAAGTTAAACCACCACCTAAGGCTTTTAGATGACCTAGAAAAATGGTTCTCAAACTCCAAAAACAAGAATTTCCTGGGGCATCTGTTAAAAATGCAAACCTCTATTCTGCACCCCCTCTAACCCCAATTCCATTCCAACAAGTTGAGGGAGAAAGCGGCCCAGGAATCTTCATTTTGACATAGCAAGGTGGTCCTAATGGAGGGTCCACACCTTGACAACTCCTGTCCTTTGGAGAGCTGGCCTCATTTCAACATGCCAGTGCAAACTAAGACGTGCCTAAGCACGGGTACTCCCCAAGGTTTGGTCCGCAGACCACTGCCAGCTTAGCAGGCTTTACCTTGAGTCACCGTCTGCTCTTTGAAGAATTCCATCACAAATATCTGAGCATGGTGTCTCCATTGCCAACCCAATGTCCCACTTCCACTCTGCTGAACGGCAGTCCTGCCTCTGCAGGTGCCAGGGAGCCCTGTCCACTAGGCTGACAGCCCCAAGATCAGACACTGGGTCTGTCTTATCATAGCTTATATCAAGTTACTAACTGGCACAAACAGACATTTAATAAATAGACCATAAGTGAGTACCTGAATGTAACTTCATCACTTCAATCAATCTCAATATATTTACAACCGAGTATATTTTCCTTTCCAGCTTCCTAAGAGAACCACCTTCCTTCCAACAAACCTTACAGCTGGTTTAATTGCCACTGTCATTATGAGACTCTGCCATTGTCATTAAGCCATGCTAAGTAGCCAATGCTGTGCTAAACTCTGCATGAGCTGGTCATGTGACCCTTGCTAAATCGAGATAAGGAGGAATTACTCTGCCTCCTTCTGAAGATGGCACCAATCACATAAGTCCCATGTGACCCTGGGAGGGAGATCAATTTTCATGGCTGCTTTAGAGATGAAGAAACTATGCACAGAAGAAGGGAGCCTGCCCAAGGTTGGAAAACTAATCAGAAGTGGAGGTGGGACTCTAACCCAGACCCTGTGCCCAGCCTGTGCCCTTCTCTAGGCACAATGCCTCTCAGGTGAGCACTGACTTATGCCTTGTCCCTGGCTGGTTTGTGGCTGGAGTCCTCCCAACAACTCCTCTGGGGCGATCACCCTCACTCTCACCTCCCTCAACCTTGTCTCCAGCTCCAGCAGACGATTCTTATCGCTGTGGTCTTGGTGGCTGATTTTTTCCAGCTGTTCCTCCAGCTTCCGGTTCTGGGCCTCCAGTTTCCCAGCCTGCGTCTCCAGGTAAAATTTCTGCTGCCTGAGTTCTGAAATCATCTCTTCCTGGGCCTTCCTGGTGGGGGTGGTGAGAGGAACCAAGCAAAAGCACAGTCTTGTCAGAGGTGGGCACGTCCTTGCAGGACAGACAGAAACAGAGTGAGTGATGTATCTTCTACAGCAAGTGGACCACAGTCATTCCCAGATTAGCTATGACCTGACCAGGCCACGAGAGCAGGATCCAGGCATGGGGACAATTCCCCCACTTTGGGGATTAAGTGTGGTCAAGGTGAGGGTAAGAGATTTTTTTTTTTTTTTTTTTTTTTTTTTTTTTTTTTTTTTTAGTCCGTATGTATAGGAGGGCAGAAAGGGGCCCACTTAGCGTATAAGAGAACCCTAACCACACTTTCAGGTGGACCTAGGGGAGGAGAGAGGGATGAGGAGAAAGAATGCTATTCCTTCTCCTCCATGAACATGCTCCCTCTCCACCAGCCCGCTCAAAGCATCAGAAACCAGGATCACTCAAAGACCAAAGAGCAGTCAGTCTACCAAACTGGTTTAAACTAAGATAGGAATGCTTTAGAAGCGCTCTGAAGAGATATTTAAAGAAAAAAAAACACTCTGGAGATTGTAATTTAAAGATCAAAGTGCTCCTGGAACAATGAAGAGTCCTTGCTAAACCCCAAACTTCTTCCCCCAGGGTCTAACTTAATCACAGAAAAGGAGATGGCCCAATTGGGCACACACAGATCACCTCTGGCTAATCATAGGAGTAAGTCTGGGAACAGGTCTGCAGCTTTCCAAAAGCAAACTATAAATAGCCTCATTAGAGACAGCAAAACACGCTATAATCTGACGGCAATTTGAAGCACTTAAGAAAACCCACCTCAAAAGAGAAGACTCTTAGAATGAGCCCACTTAAAAGAGAGCGAGATTACATAAGTATGGGATGAGGGGCTGGGCCAAACTACACCAGTAATTAAATCTGCTCCAGCTCCATCAGAGAGGGGAATGGAGTTTATGCCCAGGAGACAAGATCAAAGTGTAATCACACAGGCACTTAGGATTTGAATACTTACATGTTCCTCTGGGTAAAAAGACTGCTGTTTGCAGCAAGCTTATTGGCTTCTGACAGTTCCACAATCCTCTGTTCCAGGGATCTGATCTTGGAATCCATAGCATTGATCATCTGAAACACAGGGGACCTCTGAAACCTCAGCCACAGGCAGTTCCCCTGGCACAAGAGTAATGTGAGCCATGAGCCAGGGTCTCCTCTGAAATGCCGGCAGTCTGACCAGAGGCAACAAGCACTCAACTAGGCTGTACCCGGAGGGTCACAGATCTTATTACTCAGATGATGGCACTCAGTTGTTTTACCTAAACAGTGACTGCATGTCCCACACTAGTAAGTGGCTTGCATTAAAAATAGGGAGGAGGCCCTATTCAGGAACCTGACATTCTGCAAGGAAGCAGGCCTCCTTCAATCCCCATGGCACCTGCATGTCACCTGAGCCTGAAAGAGCCTCTAACTTGAACCTACAAGTTCATACTTCTCATCACCCATGAAGTTGTCCTTTCCTAAGGGATACCTTATCACCCAGCCACTGCTGTCTGACATTCTTGAAGGTTTCCCCAACATAAGGAATCATGAAAACCAGCAAAGGTCATGGTTAAAAACACCACGTCTCAGGACCCTCCTTTAAAGAGTCCGAGGTTGAAGGCCAACTACAAGAAGTAACTAGGACAGTAGGATCTGAGACAACACGCACTGCCGGTGAGCCTATGAGCAGCAGCCTTCTGAATGCCTGCTTATGGATTAAAAAGGAGGGATGAACAAAAGAGAGGACGCATGAGGGAGACCAAGGGCCATTGGATGTTTCCTCAGGGGGGCGTTTTGAAGGACAATGTTCCAGCTGATGGCAGATTAGCTCTTACAGAAGAGTGAAAAGGCGAAACTGGCCATCCTGAGCTGCCACCTCCACTGCTTTAAGAGAGAAAGGTTACAGTGAGAACCACCTGTTAGCAACAAATTCCACAGGGAGAAACAGAAAGAGTAACTCATCAGCTGCAATGGAGTCATCTCAGGTGTGTGGTTCCTGGCATGATTCGCAAACCCTCCTTTGAACACTGGCTTTGCGATTTCTTATACCTACCGCCTTCTGCTCGCTGAGAATTTTGCCTTTCTCATGGGCCTCCTCCTCATGTCTCTGCATCATATTCTCCAGGCTCTCCTTATCAGCCAGGTCTTTCTTTATCTGACTGTCCAACACCTATGAGAAACAGAAACAAAGGAAGTTAGTTTTCTGAGCAGCAACGCTGAGCAGGGAAGGCTAAACCAGGGCACTTGAGTAAAATGGGAAAAGGAGGGAGGAGGGGAAAAGCTCTCCAAATTCTGGGACAAAGAGAGGGATTGGGAGTCTGTTTCTTAGCTGAAATGAGGTTAAAAAGTCTTACCATGAAATGGCAAGTAACCTACTGACTTGTCCTAAGAACTTATTTTAAAATCAGCAGCCAAAAAGACTCAAGAGATAGATCCAAAATGGAGGTGAACTCCAAATGAAAGAGAAAATAAGATCTCTCTACAGATCTTCTAATTTGAATATATTACCTGAGGACAATTTTATCGTAGCCAATGCACCAGTAGTTTTCAGAATATTGCTTGCTCTTAATTTGCACAAAATGAATCTAGATATCTCTGGGATCCTGTATGAAGAGACAGAAAGCTGGAGACCGAGGAAGTCTGTGTGACCAAGGCTGATGGTCAGAAACAGCCAGGGGCAAGAGGATTTGCCCACCAGGAACGTAGGTGGAGAGTCAACAAAGAAGAGAGAAAAACTAAATGTCTCTTTCCTCTGATCCAGCAGCACAAAAAGTCACTGGAAAGAGAAACCTTTCCCAGGGGGGAGAACCCATGTGTTCTCAGTGCTGAGAATGCCACTCTAAGCACCTACTGTTCCCGGGAGGAAAAATAACACAGTAATGGTGTCACCATCCGCCAGCTTGATCTAATGTTCTGCAAGCCCTACTGGTCACCAAAACAAAAAGAGAAAAAAAGGAAGGGCAAAAGAGAGACAACATCATAACTTGTCCAAGCCTTTGACCACAACCCTGTGATTCTCATCTGAGAGAATCCACCCTGCTTTTCTGAATGACACCAACTGCATCTGGCGCTGTAAAGAATTGGGGTCACAGATGGATTGAAATCTGCCTTTCCCACAATGCCTATTGTGAGGGGACCTTCATAGAGCATTGGGTACATTATCTCTAAAAAGAGCCAGTCAGCAGGGAGGGGTTCCAGATGACAAAGAAAGGAAAGAAAGATTTCAAAGAGGGCTTTAAACTGGAACTAACTGATGGAAAAAAATAGAAAGAGAGTTGGTGGAGAAGAACAAAAGGTGGAGGACAGGGTCATGGGAAGAGGGAAGAAGCTCAATAGGATAAGTGGCCCATTCTCTTGATGTCAGGGCATGATTCTAAAATTATGAACAAGAAAAGGACAGAATCTAGGGTATGATCATAATTATAACTAAAATGGCCTTATAGAGGCGGTATCAGGAAATACAAAGCAGAATAGGCTAAAAAGAAAAGGTTTCCTAAAGATTCCAGGAGGGAGATAGAAGAAAACAGATCTTTCCCTAACATTCCCTAAACAAAGTTCTTTCAATCTAGAAGGCAGCAGAGACCACATAATATCTAGAATATGTATGCTCTTTTTTACGAGGTGCTAAAGCAATAAAGCACATTTTCGGGGTGCCTCTGCTCAAAAAAAAGACCCCAATGTTGGCAGTGATGGAACCCAGCAAGAGATAGGGTGAGCCAGAAGGAACAAGTCTCAGTCAAGAAAGAACATGGCTTTTTGACAGGAAAGTCAATGTAATCACACAAATCTCAGGTTGAATTTTACAAAGGGTTATTTCCATCATGCAAAGGTGCCAATGGACTATTTTATACATAAAAGTCTGGATGCCAGATTCAAACTAAAACAATGGTTAAATAAAGTTTAAAATACACTCAAGTAGGAGGTCACGTTAAAACACTTCAAGGTCACTTATGGGTTGTTTTCCTATATTTCTTTTAATAAAAAAACAACCAAAAGTAACACCAAGGGTAAAAGAAAGGTGTCCAGGTGGTGAGAGTGATAATGCTGTGGGAGCACAGGCATGTTTGATTCTCCAAACAAGGACCAGTTTCCTCTTTGAGAATACCAACCAAATCAGTAACAGCATCACCACAAAAATAAAAGCCTTCTTCACTGTCTGATTTGGAAAGAAACAATATTTGAGATACAATGATCAATGTCTGATTCTCTAGAACATAAGAATTGAAGGTCAGGTCCAAAAATCATTAAAAAATTGTGATGCCATTTTAAAAGGAAATAGAGATAGGCTGACATCCATTTCTGATCACCGAATTTATTAACAATTGAATTAAAATAATAATTTCAACAATTAAAATAGTAATTGAATGTATCATTTATATGGTGGATAAGATTATTTAGGCTACTTTTTCTACAGAGAATGACTTTAAATGCTAAATGAAATATAGAAAACATTTTCTCAAAAGCACATAAAAGTGAAAGCAGAAACCCAGAAAGGTAAAATTGGTACAAAGCACTTTTTAACTTGAGGCATTTGCTAAACCAAAACAGACTTTCATTGTTAAGAATTTCAAAGGTTAAGAAGGTAGACAAGTCAAAACCCATCACCACCCCACAAGGTGAGCACACATTTTCATTGAAGATCTCATAGGATTCCCATTAATAATTTCCTAAAGAAATGAGCAGCTCACCAAGCACACAAGGAGACAGGCACTATGAAAAAGAACCAAGAGAAACAACAAAGCAGAAAAAGACCTTTAGATACTTCAGATATTGGAATTATCAGACACAGATCATAAAACAAATATGCTTCATGCAATTAAAAAAAATAAAAGACAAGCTTAGAAATGAATGAATGAAATAGAAAAATCATTTTCTTTAAAAAATCTAGGAAACTTGGGAGATAACTAAACAGAATGTCTAGAAACAAAAAAGAATACAGTAATTGAAATTTTAAACTCAATGGGTAGGTTCAACAGCAGATTATACAGGTAAGAACTAGTAAAATGGAAAATCTGTCAGACCTTGCCCAGAATGTAGCACTAACAGATAAAAAAATGAAAAATATAGACAAAGGGTAGACTGGAGGTTATTTAACACATGCCTAATCAAATTCTCAAAGGAAAAGGAAAAAGAGAAGGGAAAAGAGATAATATTTAGTATATTTGAAGCAGGATACATGAAAATAAATCTGCACCTAGACATATCACAGTAAAACTTCACAAAATTGAAGACAAAGCAAAATTTTTAAAGAGTTAAAAGGGGAAAACAATCAATTACTTTCAAAGACAGCCAACAGTTAGATTGAAGCTGACTTCTCAATAACAGTAATAAAACCCAAAAGTCAATGGAATCTGATAATTGCCAACCTAGTATTTATATCCAGATAAAATATCTTTCAAGAATGAAACTGAAGACTTTCTCAGACAAACAGAACAGAGAGCTTGTCACCAGAAGAACTTCAACAAAGAATATCCTCAAGGATACACTTTAGATTTGTTGGATGGATCACTTCATAAATTATATGTCTAACCACCATGTTTACACCTGAAACTAATATAGTATTGAATGTCAATTGTAATTGAAAAATATAAAACTTGTTTTTGAGGATATGTTTTAAACAAACAAACCAAAAAAGTTTCTCAGGAAGGCACTAAAAACAGGAATGTGGTAAATCTATTTAAATCAAAATTATCATGAACTGAATGAGAGTGGGTCGAAAATACTTTAAAAATAAAATTGAGATACAAAATGACTAAATTTTTGAAGCTCTAATATCCATGCCCCTATATGGACAATACACCAAAGCCTTCCACAGTGGCCTGAAGACAGTGTTTATCCCAGACAGTCCTTTGGTCAAGCAAGAACTGGCCAAAGTGCCCAGGAAGAATTCCCCAAAGTGCCTATGATGAAAGCCAGGGAAGACCAGAAGTGTCTTTACTTTAATTTTTTCCTCATAGTGCTGCTCTTTCTGTTTCAGGTGGACCTCCAGGTGCTGGGCTGAGATCTGGGCCTCCCGGTGCTTCTCCTCCAGCTCCTGGACACAAAAGAGCAGACAGTCAGGTGTGCAAAGGGCAGGCCATAGCCAGTGTGTTAGCTATTCAGGAAGCATGACTGTGGCACAGGTATCACAGGCAACAGGCATCTGTTCCTTCATCACTAGCCCTAAGGCTCTTGGAAAGGAAATCACCACCAAGCCTTGGCCCTGGGCTTCCCAAGTCCAAGTATACACACACATACACACACAGCAGGTGGGCAGGATCAGAAATCTGTCAGTGTGACAGGCCAAACAAAGGCAGCTCTTCATATCTGCATAGAGAAATAAGAGTAACAAGGCAACACTTGAATGTTGAGTACAGCGCAAAGCCCCTGACCACTATCTTGAGCTTCAGGCCATTTTCACTGCTATGACAGCCTTAAATGAGAAAAGTAATTTTAATTTATTTTAAATTTAAAGTTAATTTATTATGATAAAAAATATTTTGTATTTTTTCTCATTAACAAGGTGATTGCTCAAGAACCCTATCTGAGAAGGAAAACTCATGTTACAATTGAAACACTTCGAGTTTTGAATGATTATTTCAACTGACTGGTATGCAGGATATGAAATGGAGATATTCATATGACCTAATGTGTATATCAATGATTTTCAACCTTTTCCATCTCATGACACACATACATTAACTACTAAAATGCTATGGCATACCAAAAAATATATTTTTTTTGCCCATTTGACAAAAAAATAGGTGTAATTTTGATTAATTCACATCAGACAGCTATTGTGTTGGCTGTTGTCAGTTTTTTATTTCACAATCTAAACGAAAAGAGATCAGTGCCCCTCACTAAGTAGTCAGGTATTGCATGTTTTAAAAATTCTTGCAGCACACCAGTTGAAAATCGCTGGTCTATTTGATACAAGCTAATAGTAACAAAGCAGAACATAAAACATGCTGATAATCATGACATAAATATGTACACACATATGTTACCGATAGAAGAGAAGTTGGAGTAATATCAATAGCACAAATTTAATGTTCTCTGCATTCTTTTATTAAATATTCTACTTTTAAACAAACTTGTAATTCATTTGAAAATTATACCAATTCATTTGCCAATGTATTATAAACTGATTTATGAAAGGCAGCATTCATTCACTGAAACATTCTCAAAATGCAGAAATCATATCTGCATCTACATTAAGTCTTATGAATCTAGACCCATTAATTCTTTACTAATATAAAAAGTTATTACTCCAAATCTAAGATAACAAAAACAAACAAAAAGTTATTAATTATTACTCCAAGTTTCCATCTTTTAACACTATTATGCCTTTTTTTTTTTAAATTGGGAATTACGAGAATTTTGAAGAATCAAGAAATTATACAGGATATGTTCAAAAAATGGGAAAAAATACTTTCAAATTTGCATACACGTAAAATGTTACTGATCAAGCTTTTGAAATTCTAAAGTCTGCAAGCATTGGCTTTGTTTTGGGGGCAGTGAAGTGTTCTATTTTAAGACTAGGTACACAAACTCTGTTGCAATCTAGCAGATATGATCTTAAAAAGTTGAACATAAACATAATTTTAATAAAAAACATAATTTAAGGGTTTGATGTGTACTAAAGGATCTTCTGCAAAGACTTTGCTATACAATGAGATCCCCAATTATTTGTGGTGAAAGTTCCTACCAGACAGCAAATATTTTAAAGCAGAAGACATTTTGGGATCTGCTGCAAACTTAGTCATTATATAACAGTATTAAAGACCACCTTTGCCCATGTCCTAGATACTTCGCAGCATAAGCTCAGGGTTCTTGAGCAAAAGGCACCTTCCGGTAAATGAAGTCACAGCCACAGAGGAACTTGGGCAGATGGCAACATATTAATACATTCAAACAAAGAAATATGCTTACTTTTTCTTTATGCTATAAATAACTTGATAATCTTCTTTTGTTAGTTTCAGTCCTCATAAGATAGCACAGGAATGGAAATCTGAATCTAAAACAGGTTAAAAACTCAGATACCTGAGACTGGCAACTTTAAGACCAAATTTCTGGTCTATATATGAATGGGAGTTTACGACATATTATCAAAGAATATGAAGCTCTATTCTCCTACATGTTAATTGCAAATGACTTTTGGAAAAGCAAATATGCTAAAATCTGATGTCTTGGCAGTTTGGCATTTTTTGTTGTTGTTGTCATTTTTAAAACATTATCTTTTCTATAAGTATTGGATCAAACTCTTCAGTCCTGTTACATAAACACTGTTGTTCGCTGCTATATTTCCAGGTCCTAGAACAGTGCCTGGCACATAGTAGAAGCTCATTAAATATTTGTTGAATGAATGAATGAACACATCACCAGTAAACAGAGAAACACTTTGCGACCACAAGAGACTTAACCACTTCATTTGCACAAAGCAAGGGATAGTGGTGGGGGATCTCGGTGGGGCTTAATTTTACTCACAATAAAGTTCACACACTTGACAATTGCCAAGAGAAACTCTGATGACGGAAAAAGAGAACGGAAAGGGTAGAATAACAGTCACATTTGCCTTTGCGTACAGACGTATACATGAAGACTGCGTGCCCAAGCAAAACAATCGAACCAATTTCTCTTTCAGCTGTTTGCTCAAGAGCATCCATACGCTAGGGACTATATACAAACATAGAAGTGCAAAGTTTTAAAGGGTGTTTCTTTAAAAAATATTAAGTGCAGGCCTATAAGTTGGCTAATCCTGAGTTCATATATGACTCATTTCCCAGAAGTGATGCAGAGAGAGAGAGAAAAAGAGAGAAGTGACCCGCTCACCACCTCGCCTCCTTGTGGCAGAGAGAAACAGCTGGCTTCGCCAGAGTCGCTTCTGGGGCGGGGGAGGAAGGAGCTATGAACAGACTCCACGTCATCACTAAGTGGCATCAAACTCCTGGCTTTGGGACTGAGATCCAAGGAGAGTCCTTCAAAAGTCCCACCCTGGCAGGCAACACTTGAACCCATCTGCAAATACCGCCCGAGCCTTCCTGATTGAAGTTAAATTGGCCACCAGAACTGAAAACAAAATCGTGATTACAAAGCTAAAAAAATGACTTGCTACATCTAAAGAAATTGAAAAATAACAATAAGAACCAACTGTGGCAGAGAGAGTGAGTGGGTGAACATTGCTATGACAAATACTACTCTGAGAAAAACAATTCTGCATGACTAATTATATTCTTCTCCAAAAACAAGAATCTGGGCTTTGGTCTTAAAGGTCTAAAGCCCTGCAGTTTTTAAAATTGGCAATGCAAAGCTAACGGCCATACAAAACCCTACTCATAGGAAGGAAATGCTCCTGAGAAATCTATGGGAAATAACAGCGTATGCAAATTCATCATTTAAAATGCCAGGCAGTAGCAAACAGAGCAAAAATAAAAAATGTTTACGGATCTGTTATCAGTGCTGAAATGTCCACAATGTGATTATTCATTCTGTTCTCTGATGCGGTGTTCACTGAAATCGCTTCTCTTAGTTCATCTGCTTGGCGATACCTCCCCTCTGACGGCACTTAATGCTTCTTTTTACCCCCTTCCCTCGCAACCTCTACCCTGTTATCTTTTAACTTTTCAACTTTGGTTCCTGCTCACCAGAATTTTATCAGCCATCTGCTGGATCTGTTGGGATTTTGTCTGGATGTCATCCTTCAGTCTGTTTTCTCTACGCTCCATGGTCTCTAGCCTCTTTACCTTGTTCTCCAGAGAATGGCGACGTTCCTGTAGATCGTGAATCAGAGAGTTTTAATGGGGTAACCGCTACAGGCATAACGCCTGCACTTGAGGCGGGAAGAGAAGTCTCAGGACCCGCACCAACAGCGAAGAAAACAAAGACTCTAGAATTCAAGTACTTGGTTGTGAAGGTTACAGGAGTGCATTCATTCATTCAAATATTTACGAAGCACCTACTATCTGCAGAAGTACCACACTAGGCATCACGGAAAATACAGAGAGGAAGCCGACATAACTCCTGCCCTTGCAAAAGGTAAAACAAACACAGGTAAACATAATGTAGATTAAGAGGGGAAGAGCCATAAAGCAAACAGGTACAGATGCTGTGGAAGGCTGGAGGCAGGAAAGTGGACTTTTTACCCAACAGGTGAGGGGAAGAGCCAAAGAGACGTGAGTTCTGGAACAGTCTGGGATATGGGGAGGGCAGAAGAGGAGGATAGAAGGCCTCTCAGACAAAGGCAGGCGTGTTAGCAGAAACATGGAGGTGGTCAAGAGCCAAGTTAGGCCCCAGCTGAAGCCTGGAACAGCTACATCTCAAGATGCGTGATGGGGAAGAGCAGGAGAAAAGGTAAAATTCAAAAAGGTGGGTCAAACAGTGGCGAGTCATGTACCAGGCTCAGGGCTGCACGTAAGATATATGGAAGTCCTGAAAGCTTTGGGATGGGGCAGGGGTGGTTGATGAGCCTTCTTCTGAGTCCGCGAGTCTTACTATACGAGCTTGCTGGGAGGAAGGAAAGACCGGAAGCAAAAGGCAAAAAAAAAAAATCACTACTGCCCAGCTAAGAGGAAGAGGACCTGGTCTGTGAGGAGGCCGACAGAATGGCAGGCAGGGGATGAATGGGGGGATAGGGTGGCTGTATATATAGGACTGAGTAGCTCACTGAATGGCAGGGCCCCCGGGTCCATGGAGAAGCAGATACAGTGTCAAGGTTTCAAGCCTGGGGTGACTTGATGAATGATGCCACCTGCCCTGACCACCATGAGGAAATTAAGGAAACTCAGTTCATGGGGGAAGACCCTGAGTTAATTCTAGATTTAATGCACTATTAATACCCAGTCCAGATGTCAGGGGAGCAGTGGGAAATACTGCCTGGAACATGGGTGAGGATGGCCCCAAAGAGACATGAGCAAGCAGGGTCACGCCAGCACGGTAGTAAGGAAAGCAGCACCAGGGACATGGTTAAATCAACTGTGGCACATCCATTCTGCAGAGTGATCACCAAGGAGCTAGGGGAGATAGACAGGAGAAAAGGGGAAGTGTCACTTTTTATTCTATATTCAGCAGTGTTTTGTTTTTGACAATGAGAAGACACTCGTGTGTTTATTATATAATTATATAAACGATTTCAACAACAACAACAACAACAAAGAATATGAGAAAGAGAAGACACCCAGAAATACAGATCTGGGAAGTCATAGACACACAGGTAATAGCTGAAGCCTTTAAAATCAATATGTTATTATCACTGTTGGGAAAAGGCAAGGAAAAACAAGGGTCCAGAGAGAAGAAAAGAAAAACTTAGGGATGGCGTTAGTCTGCCTATATAAACATAAACAAACCCTCCTGGATGAGTGAGCAGGTCTGAGGAAAACAGAAAGGAAAAGCTTTCATCAAAACATCTTTCTACTTGAAGCTGCTGCGACAAATCTTTCTTCCCCTTTGGGAAAACATTTCCAAGCCTCTCAAGTTTCAAAAATATTTGCAGAAGGGAAAACAGTTTGGTCAGACACAAGCAAGAGGTGGCTTTGCCGTGGCACAACCAGAGGCTGGTCACTGTCACTCCCACATGGCCACGCCAGGGCCCGGGGTCAGTTCGCCAGGGGCTGGCAGTGCCCTGCTCACCTCGGCTTCTACCAGCTTCTTTTTGATGCCTTCGGAAGAGTCCTCACGGTTCTGCAGCTTCTCCAGCTCGCGCTCGGCTCGCTCCTTTGCCTGGCGGATGTTCTGCAGCAGCTCGGTGGCCTCTGTGCTGGCTTTCACAGCCTACAGGAAAGAGGGAACACAAAGTGGATGGCCACGTTTTTCCACTTTCTAAATGGGGAAAACCAGGGACACTAGGAGAATGTCCATTTTAAAAAACATATAAACATTCATTTTATTATGAAGTTTGTCTAATTCTAAGATGCACATGCATTTTTTTTTAACATTGCTGAATTTGGAATGCATCCTACAATGAAAACTGACAGCATTTTTTCCATCTTGGGGTATATGAGATAGTGATATATCTGATTATCATTATCATCTTAGATTCAATGCAATGTAGTCAGTGCAAACACAAAAGTCTAGAAGGATTATCTACCCAGATAATAATGTATTTACCTCAAAGCATTAATTTTCTCCTCATTTAATTATCTCACTTTCTAATTTTTCTATAGAGAATTTGTACTACCTTTACAAGCAAACAAGATAAAAACGGTAATTTCAACTAGTTTTCAAAGGGCACAAGAACCATAGCGTTCATGGTAATTTGCCAATCCACGTGTTGTTTTTTAAAATAACATATTTTGAAGTTAATTTTTATATGGGTCTTCGTTATACTTCTGCTCTTATAGCATCATTGTAAAGATCTGAGTTTAAGAGACCAACAATCTCACACTTAGTTGCTTTAAATTAAAATATTAAAAAGTAAAAACTCAAAATTTAAAAATGGAAACTGCAAGAAAACTCCAGCTTCGAGGCCAGCACTGTCCACATGGAAGCCACTTGCCACATGTGGCCATGGAGCCTTGAAAGTGGCTGGTAGGGCTGAGAATTAATTCTTTTGTAAAAATATATTTTATTGATTTCAGAGAGAGGAAGACAGAAACATCAATGATAAGAGAATCATTGATCAGCTGCTCTCTGCATGCCCCCCACTGGGGATCAAGCCTGCAGCCTGGCATCTGCCCTTAACTGGAAACAAACCTGGGACCCTTCAGTCTGCAGGCCAATGCTCTATCCACTGAGACAAATTCGCTAGGGTGGGAACTCCATTCTTTCTTTACGTTCAATACATTTAAAAACTGAAATAGTATAAATGTCTTAATATTGACATGTTAGCATGATATATTCTATATTGACAATGCTACCATGATATACTCTAAATGAACTATACTATTCAAATAATTCTACCTGTTTCTTTTTGTTTTTCCTAATAAGCCTACTAGAAAATTTTAAATTACATCGGTGGCTGATATTGGGGACTTGCATATCACTTCTATTGGAGAGCACAGTTCTAGATGAAAACAGGATTGCTTACACAAGTACTAGCTAAAATGGAGTAAGACTTTCATTTAGTGGCTCAAGAACAGGCAAGAAGGGAAGCAATGAACAAATAAAATGTGGAAGATATGGACAATGGGATATCATGCAGCCCTGAAGAAGGAAATCCTGTCAAATGCCACAAAGTCGCTGAAACTCAAGAATATTATGCTAAGTGAAATAAGCCTGTCACAAAAGGACAAATGCTGTGTTACTCTACTCATATTAAGTACCTAAAGCAGTCAAGGCCATACTAGTAGAAACACAAAATGAAAAGGTGGTTCCCAAGGGCAGGGGGCTTTAGGGAAAGGGGTTGCGTGGTGGCAGGTACAGAGTTCCAGTGTTGCAAGATGGACAAGTTCCAGCACTCCATTGTACAACCATGGGAATGTGCCTAACACTTCTGAACTATATACTTAAAATGGCTACAATGATAAATTTAATGTTATTTTTTTACCACAATTAAAAAAATAAATAAAGTAAGAAGGAGTTCTGCTACACTAAACCAATAAACACATTCACAAACATCCACAAGGCATGTCTCAGAACCACATTCATTCTGGCCCTTTTGTTAGTATGATATTTCCAGGGTTCAACTAGCACAAACTTTTCTGGATGCTGTCACTTAAACTTCCCCCTCTTCCCTCCCCCTCCCCCCAGAAGATGCTTCCTCAGCTCCTTCCATCTTCCAGTGCACAGCAATGCTGCCCACAGAGTTTCTAATTGAAAGCAGTCTGGGTCATGAACAACACATGCTTCCCTTACAAATGTGCAAAATGGGGAGCCTGGCCCCCGAAGGGAGAGAAGCTGGCTTCCTAGGTTCTGTGACAGTATAATTAGAAACTTTTCTTGAGAATCTCACACAGCTTGGTTTTCAAAAATAAACACTGCTGACACATCTCAAAAGAAAAAGTATATTCAGAACTCATATTTTCAGGTAATAGCTCACTCCCCCTGCATTTTTCCCTGCGCTGGGTGACTAAATCTGTTTCTTTCATCTTTTATGCCCAGGAGGAGGCAAGGTAAAGAATTTGGAAAGGGGGAGGAGGAGGGTTAGGCTCCCAAGAAAATCCCCTCAGGCTTACCTTTTCCAGCTTTTCTTGGAGCTCTTGAATTTTGAGCTGCTGCTCAGCATTGATCTATAATTAAAATCCCAGGAAATAAAGCAAAAGGCAAATCAGTATTAAGGTCTTGCTACATTTACTGCAATCCTATTTTCTTGAGGTTTCTGTGGGATCTTTTTGTTGTGTTTCCCAGTACCTACTAATGGAAAGGAAAAACAAGTGGCCTATCAGAAAAGACCGAATATCCCAGAGCAAACCTCCACGGGGACCATTCCTCTAGAATCACCAGCATACAAAATGGCAAAAAGAGAATCAAAGTTGCCCAGTGCCTTAAAGGCAAAGAGAATTTTCACATTAATTTTACTAAGAGTCTGGGTTTTTTTTGTTACTGTGAGCAGACATGCAAAAAAAAAAAAAAAAAAAAAAAAAAAATGATGTCTTTTATCCCTTTAGAACCACAGCTGAAGCTAAAAGTGGTCACCCAGAGGTTGACCATCAAAATAAACCTAAAGAAAGTTCTCTATTCATTATGAGTATTCTTTCCAATGACTGGCCACTGATAGTAACCTCTGAAAGATTATCTACCAAAACAGCAACATCAATAAAGGAAAATACCTTCTCCAGTTGGGAATATTCTCCCACTTCAGGCTTCCCTTGATCCTTCGCCTGTAATTTAAAAGATATGACATAACGGGGAGTCTCAGGAATATAAAGTCTTACAGACAACACTACCTCCTGTACTTTCTTAAGTCTCTGTGATCAAAGTGATGATGATGATGATGATGATGATGATGATGACGACGACAACGACGATGACAAAATAAGTTATCGTCCGTAAAAACCAGGAGCTTTCCAAGATATCCCATTATTTCCTACACGTAGACTCATCAGGCTAGCACTCCCGTTATTCTTGCTAGATTATTCATGATTCTACCCCAAACACCCTCCTCGTGGGCGGTGGCTACCTTCAGCAGTTTATGCTGAGATTCTGTTGCTTTCCGCTTGAACTCTTCAGCAGCCAGCCTGGACTCTCTCAGTTCCGACTCATAGAGGTCACTCCGTCTTCTTGCTGAAACCAGGTCCTCTTCCAACTGGTTCATCATTAACCTCATTTCTTCCACCTGAGCCTGGTACTCCTAAAGGGCGGGCCATGGAAAAAAGGTGAACTTGAAACTACTAAAAGAAAAGACAAGCAGTGAAGATGGACAGACATCAGCCCTAGAGGGAAGACCAAAACTGAAAAGAGATTGCAGAGAACAGACCTAGAGAGAAGGTGAACAGACAGATGGGCAAAGGGGGGAGGCATGGGAGGGTGAGGATGGAGAAGAGAGTATTAAATCTTTAAATTCTCTTAAAGTGGAACATGGATCACTATTAACACCATTTGGAACACCTGTGCCTATAATAAGACCCTTTGAGCAAATAATACCATAAGCAAGCACAGAACCTTCAGGTATCTGCAACACAGGACAGCTAAAAGGGATGTTCTTTAAACAACCGGACAAACTGCTTATGTGTAGCTTTCTTCCAAGGGTAATCGTTCCTATAGATTTGTCCTTAGCAGTCATGTGCTCCTAACATAATTAGATATGGTACTAGTTTTAAAATTAACCTTTCAGATTGCACAAGAGGGTAATTGGAAATCTCAGTGGAAAGAATCTTGGAAGGTGAAAGTCATCATGTCAGTTTCTCACCATTAATTTTTCTGGGCCCAAACTGAATGAGGAACTTAACATTGCTCTTGAAACATAAGTCACCCTGAAATTTGCCACAGTCAGAAAACACTGGCTCCGGTCAGAATAACTTGTGAGAGAGATTCCAAAGAAAGAATCATCTTGTTCCCTCTAACAAACCCTTTCAAGTGATCCAGACAGCCTGACCTTTTTCAAAATGCATTTCTAAAATCAAAACAGAACATATGAATTGAGGCTTTTCAAAATTGGATTTACCACAAGAAATGGGCAGTTTTGAAAACTTTTGGCCGAAGTATGAAAATCATCTTTATTAGCAAAATCAAAACTTTTATATATAAGAAAATGAATGGGCACTTGTGCAATTCAAAATGCCTTAGGGTGCGGATAGGCGGGATATAAAATGAAAGAACAAAAAATTGAATCAAGATGGTCTTTGACATTCACTATATACAGAGAACATCTCCAAGATCTATCTCCAAGCAATAATTGAAGAGGTATTAATTGAGCAAGACATATGTGTGTTTAAATAATAAGGTATAAAGGAGACCTCCCAGCCTACTTTAATAGGCGATCTCCCCAGTGCACACTAGGGAGGTGATGTCCTTATAAAAACTGGGTAGCACTCAGGCAAGCACTCCTCTAACTATACCATTGGTAGAGGGGAAATGAATAAAAAGCAAGCCCTGAGTGAAGAGTCTTATTTCACTTTACCGAAAACTATACTGTCACTGAGGGTCCAGGTCAGAAGTCCTGGGGCACCAGGTTTCTGGGTGGTGCACCCCAAGTGGGTGACGTGGGATTATATAGCCAAAGGCCTTTATAACCTGCTCACAATTATCTGAACTCACAGAATGGAACATGAGCCGATTATGTAAAACGATACATTTTCCCTTGGGTTTTTCCAGACCCCTGGGTGCATTCTGATTATCATGGCTCTGAGTACTGTGCCTTCCTGGACCTTCTTTCCCCAAAATAATAATAATAATAATAATAATAATAATAATTAATAATAATAATTTTTAGAATTATATTTTATTACTGTGTTCATATAAAGACAAAAACATGATTATCAACGAAAAGTTTCTTTGATCTAAAAGCTTAACTTTTTCTCTTCTAAATAAAAAATTTAAATATCTTATGGGCAACTATGAATACCGTCAGTCCTACCCTACAGTCACAAACAACAATCTGTGGAGGAAGCTGAGTTGGGAGAAAATCTTGAGCATCTTATCCCCAAGCTCCCTTTTCTTTTCTTTTTTGTTAATCCTCACCCAAGGATATTTTTCCACCAATTTCCATCAATTTATCCATTAGAGAGTGGAAGGGAGGAGGAGAGACAGAAGAGAGAAACATCAACATGAGAGAAACACTTTGATTAGTTGCCTGCCATGTACACCCTGACCAGGGCCAGGGATCATGTCTGCAACTGAGGTCTGTGGCCTTGACCAGAATCAAATCTGGGACCCAAGCTCCCTTTTCTTTCTTGAACTTGTTAGTGAGGAAGAAATGTAATGTTTGTGTTACAAGGACAGCAATGACAGAGCAGTTGTTTATCCCCCAACATCTCTTTCCTGAGCCATCAGCACCGGGGCGGGAGGGAGGGAGGTAAGAATCAGGCAACCTCTCTGTCAGCTCTCTGAGCTCATGGGGCACCCTGCCTGCTCAAGCATCGAGAATTCTACCTCATTTGTTGAGCCGCTGTTGTTATGCTGCAGACTTCACAGCAATCTCATAAATCCAATAGCTAATGCGTGCTGCAGGGAAAACCTGAGGGAAGGTCAGCAGGTCTGTCTCCAAGGGCAGCAGAGAGCAGTCCTGTCTCAGCACAGGCTGACCTGCGGGTGGGAGCTGAGCGGATCAGAATGGGGGCCGTGGGCAACTCCCGAGGCCTAAGGTAAGTGTTCCCGAGGGAGCTGCAGAATTCTATGGGAAAGAGGTCAGACGTGGTCCTATTCAGTGAGAAGCATCTTCCATGTTTCCCGAGCTTCTGCTTCCCTTCCTGAGGCGAGGGCAACAGCGAGGGGTCAGCAATTGCTGGTAAAGGTGCATGAATCAAACCATCACGGGAGACTCGGGTATTATTTTAAACCAAGTCCAATTACTGTATAGGGGGTGGCTAGGTAGAAGCAAAATATTAAAAAATAAAGAGCCATATAGAAATTAGCTTTTGAGATAAAGAGGAGGGGAAAATTGCCAAACCTGAGAGGAACACAGTGCTGGGAACCAATTACTAGGAGTTTGCTGAAAGCAGGAAGTGCCTTCCTTTTTTGGCCAATCCTCACCCGAGGATATTTTTCCATTGATTTTTTTTTTAGAGAAAATGGAAGGGTGGTTGAGAGACAAAGAGAAACATCAATGAGAGAGAGACATACATCAACGAGTTGCCTCCCACATGTGTCCCTATCAGGGCCAGAGCTTGCAACTGAGGTATGCCCTTGACTGGAATCGAACCTGGGACTCTTCAGTCCACAGGCCGACACTCTATCCACTGAGCCAAACCGGCCAGGGCATATTCCTGGACTGCAAACATCCTCCCTCACAAAACTTCCCAAAAGTTAATAAACCCTTCTTCTGGTGAGAAGTAAAATCAGAAACCGAGAAGTGTTCTTCCCCCACTGGAACTGTTAGCAGTCATTAAATCTAAAACTCCACATCATGCCAACTGCGATATGAATCACAAAAGACATTGCTTTGAACTCAACCACCTTTCAAAATGTTCTGTTAATTCTGTTTCTGGGGAATTTCATGGACACCAGCTGCTCCCTCTGGTGGCCAAATATAGCTTTAATTTCCCCAGGATGTCAACCAAGAGCAAATTTCCGAACACTCTGAACTAATGGGAGAAAAAGAACCCCACCTCCTGAAACTCTCAGGATGAGAAACCATGTTGATAAAAGGGGCAATGAGTCACCTGTCAAAGCAGGTCTTTCAAACTGAGTGGCCTGGAAAAGCTCTAAGATTAGTAGTGTTCAGATATCTGCTAACCAGATTGCTCCGTTTCCTAAGCATATTTACTTACAACATTTTTATCAAGCAAGAGGATAGTAACCAACCATTTTTAAATATTAAGGTGATGGATTATACCAACAACACCCCCCAACAATCATCCTTTCTTTAAAGAAGAGTGAATGGATCTGATTATTTGCAGAAGTTTCTTATATTTAGCACCACCCAGATGGCCAAGTTGGTGCTACCCAGAGACAAAAATGTTCATTTCCATCACTGTTTACATTGGGTTTTCTGAAGTGAATGAGAGTTGCCTGGCAGCTGATAATTCAGCTCTCCAATTGCTCATTACCATCTCTTCATGAAAGTTTCTATTTACAGTTTCTTCAAAGGACAGAAAAATCTATGCTAAAAAGGAAACAATGAAGCAAAAAAAAGAAAAAAAATGAACAATCTCCAAAGAAAACCCTTTTGAAAGGAGGGTGTGGGGAGAGTAGGTTTTTTAAAGTTCTCGGTGCTCTTTTCTGAACACACATGATGGAGCTTTCTGCACTCAGATTGGCTGTGTTAAATCTCACTCAGTCTTACTCTTCTTGACTATTTCTTTACATTTTACTTATATAGTAAGTTTTACTGACTATAAATTATCCTGGCTTCTCTCAAAACCTTAAAGGTGAAACTGAAAAGCTAAAAAACCTTAATTTCTTTGTAGTGATCGAAAGCAGAGGTTTGCACACTCCTCCTGTGAGAGGCTAGATCGTAAGCGATTGCAGCTTTGCAGGCCAGACGGTCTTTGTCACAGCTCCCCCCGCCACGGGAGCAGGAGTAACAGCTACGGGCAAGGCGTCAGGGATGAGCATGGCCGTCCACGAAGCCTTATCTATGGGCACCCAACTCTGACTTCATGTACTTTGCATGCGCCATGACATATTCCTCTTCTTTTGATTTTTCCCACAAGTATTTACAAATGCAAAAGGCATTCCTGCTTATGGTCATGGAAAACGGGGGGTGGGCCAGATTTGCCCAGAGGCCACGGCTGTCCTGCCCATGCTCTAAACCACGACTTTTAATAGAAAAGAGCAGCCATTATGGGCACGGATTTCAAAGGAGCTGCAACCAAGCACTCTACAGTTTATGTAAATATGGGCCAGCTGAAGTTTCCAAATGACCTACATGTCTCGCGCTTTCTCTTTCCTTCTCTCCGCCTCTCAAACACCCTCTCCTGAAATGAGGCCCGCGCGCCACCCTTCTCCCGGGCAGGCAGTCATACCTGCTCTTTGATTTCTTGGAGCTTCCGGCTCTGTTCTCTGATATCATGGAGAAGCTGCAGTGCTTTGTCATCCTCCTGGGACACCTCCATCCGTGCTTGCTCCAAACTTCGCTTTAAGCTCTGCAGAAAGCAAAAATTTTAATAGGGAGGCCCTGTGGATCCTGCTCTGTTTGAAAAAATTCATTAAGGGAGCTGCAAGCTGCTTCGTAGACACCAAGACGGTTTCGGGTGAGGGACCAAAGTCGACAACTTCCAGTTGGTTGCTGATTCCAGTTTTCATCCTGTAAAGATCCCTGGATTCAAGAAAGATCATCTCAATCCTGTGACCTTTTGATCCAGACTGAAGCCACAACAAGCTGTTTCCTACCACCATCTCCCTGTCTTAGCACATTTACGTGCATGTTTAGGACTAAACACTAGTCAGATCCCTTACCTGTTATAACCACACTAGGACAGTCCACAGAGTCTTTTCTATAATATCAGTTATTCAAGGACTTGCTAGTATATAACTCTTTCAAAGTAGCAATGACTTCATGCTCTTCCCTATTGTCCCTTGAGACTCCAAGCAGTCTATTTCCATCTCCTGGCTTATGTCTCCTGGATACCTTTCATCCATAAGGTTCCCTCAGTGCTTCAGTGGCACTGAAATATATATCTGAAATACAGAGCTGAATAACTTCACTCACCACTGAAAGGCAACCAAATCTGGAATGGAAACATAGCAGTTACTCTTAATTAGCCACGTCCTATAGATCTCTCCCTCATGAAAGAAGTAGGGGGGAAGAAACTTGAAAAATGTGTGATTCCATTTTTTAAGACTGTTTAATTGGGCACATTAAAAAACACACACCTGGATGAAAAATTTAACGAGACAATGGAGAAGACAGTCTACTCTTGTGATGGAAAGGAAAAAAAAAGCCACATGGTAAATAATGACAGAGGGTCTGGGTTTTAAAGGCTGAGTTTTCTTATTGCTACACCAGTTACAGGCAATGGAAAATTGATTTTAGGCAGATTCAAAAGACATTTATTTTCTTGTGCTTATTTGCGAGTTTGGTTCCCGAGGCTGATCGTGTCAGACTTGGTGTAGGTTTGGACCAGAGAGGTTGGGATGGGTGAAGTTCAGACCCTTGGTGACTTGCTACAAGGATGACTATACCCATCGCCAAGCTCTGCGGCCTGCCTGGACTTTCTGGGGTCCAGTCTCATTTCTCTCCGGGACCTGTCACCAGGCTCACACTACTCTGCAATCACAGTTCTTGCTTTTGTAAGCTCCCTTTCTCTACTCTCTGCCATTGGCTGTGATGCGCCTCATGGAGCTGTCATGAAACAGGATGAGACACACACAACAGGAAGTGCCACCTCCAAGGGAAGGGGACTTGGGAAAGGCTCACACTGCATTCTGTGATGTAGGTAGCAAGGTCCTGCTCCAGGAGGGATCTCTGAGTCTCAGAGGCCTTCAGCTCCACCTCCTTCTGACTAAGCACAGCCTCCACCTCTGACACTCTCCGATGTAACCGGGTCATTTCCTGCTCCATCTGAAATAAACACATCGACAGGTTAAAAAGGCCCCTGGAGGTTCGTTGGGGGCTATCAAATCTCAAGTAGCCTCCAAAACCACCTGGTGGTCTGGGCTGGCACTATTGTGCCAAAGGTTGGGATGGAAATACCATTGTTTCTTCGCCCAGGAGCGCACAGTTCTTCGTAAGGAGAGTCACCAATGCTAAGTCCTCTCATTCACGTCTCGGTTCACACTAGGTCACTCCTCTAACCCAGTGAGCCAGAGAGCCACAATCATCACTTTGCACCTGTTTGCTCTTTTGGTTTGGTTTGGTTTTTGCAGACGTCACTTTAATGTTACCCCAAATCCATCTTGATCCCCCCCATCTCCTTGCAAAGGTCTAGAGGACAATCCAGGACAGGGCAAGGAGTATGTATTCGTCTGCACGCTTAGGAGTCCCAGGCAAGTAGTGACTTTTATGAGCTTCCAGAAAGCTGCCCCTGGGCAGGAACAGTGAACGTTAAGAGACGTTGAGCATAATCAACACCGCGGCAGCAGTTACATAAGCAGGAGTTTTAAAGGACTAGGAAGAGAAACTTCGCATCACTCAGAGCAGATGGGATGCATCTCGGCCACAGGTGAGGACCCACACCACCTGCCGGAAGAAGCGGACATCTGGCTGGGTCATGCTGAGGAACAGGCCGTTTTAAATCCAGGGCCTCCTCTGGTTAAGATTTAAAGGATTTACAGCAAAGTCAAGGCCCGAATTCATCTCCCTCTGAGCTGCCGGAGGCGTGACTTCAGCGAGGGCGATAGCACCTCACTCGCTCTGTATGGATCAGGTGGCTCAGTGCCAGCAGCAGCCCCGGGCGGCTCCCTTGGCATACATTGACGGGAGGATCCTGGAGCAAGGAGAGAGGCCGGCTGCGGAAATAAATACCTTGTGACACTTGTCCTGCGAGTCTTGCAGCTCTTTGCTTTTGATGAGAAGTTTCTTTTCCATGGAGCTAGTCTTGGCAGGGGAGTCAAGGCCCGACACAACAGACCTAGATAGAAGGAAACCAATGTCAAGGTGGTAAATGCATGTCCTGAAAGCTGCATTCAGAAACGACGGCACAGACGATGGAGCTTCCAGAGCTCTGTGGCCATCAGCAGGGCTTCTAACGGCATCATGGCATGAGGCAGGAAGATGGAAGGAAGCAAGGATCCTGGCAGCAGGCAGAGCTGGGTGTAAATTCAATTGCCACTGACCTGAGGCAATGATTCAGACTCTCTGAGCCTCGGTTTCCATATCTATGAGGTGGAATGCTAATAAAAGGACCTACCACACAGGAGAGTGTGAGTAGCACCCTGCCTACATTGCTTCACTCACTCAGCAGATATGGGCTGTGCACATACTATGTTCCAGAAACTGTCCCAGGTACTGGAATAGCAATAAATAAGATATCAGAGTCCCTGATCTCCTGGAACTGGCATTCCACAGAGGGGCAGAAAAAATGCATAAGGCACACACACATACACACACACACAAACACAAAGATTACAGATGATGACAAATAAGGAAACAGGGTGGGACGTGACACAAAGAGAAAATGGGTCGAGGGTCTGCTTTAAGCAACAGTAATCAGGGAGTGCCTCTCTGAGGAGGTGACATTTAACCTGGGGCCTGACGATGGGAAGGTGCAGGCCATCCACAGCTCTGGAAGGAAACAAGCTCTAGGGAGGAGGGATAATTGATGCTATAGTCCTGAGGCAGCACAGAGCTAACACAGCAAGTACTCAATAAATGTACATGAATCAAATTATTGTTTATTCCATCCCCAAGTTAGCCAGTTGGTTCTGTTTCATTTTACACAAACTGCTAAGGCTCACTATGCCCCAAGATGTCCACATCCGAATGTCCATTACCTGTGAATCTGTTAGCTGACACGGCAAAGGAGAGTTTGCAGATGTGATTAAGTGAGGGAGTTTGAGATGGGGAGATTAATAAGGATTATTTGGTTGGGTCCAATGTAATCATAAGGATCCTTATAAAATGAAAGCAGAAGAAGGAAGGAGATATCACAACAGAATTAAAGTCAGAGTCAGAAAGAGAGAGAGATTTGAAGATACCACACTGCTAGCCTTGAAGAAGGAGGAAGGGGCCACAAGCCAGGGAATCTAGGCGGCTAGCATAAGCTGGAAAAGGCAAAGAGACCGATTCTCTCAGAAACTACAGAGTGCAGTCTTGTCTACACCTTGATTTCAGCCCATTAAAACCCATCTCAGACTTCTGAGCTCCAGATCTCTAAGGTAGTAAGTGTCCTGTGTTAAGCCACTAAATTTGTAGCAATCTGTTACCGCAGCTCTAGAAGCTCATACACTTATTGGGCACTGACTACATGCCTGGTTCTGTTCTAACTCTAGACATGTTTTTACTCTTTATTCCTCACAACAATTCTGGGAGGAAGATACAATTCATTATCCTCATTTGTACGTGAGGAAATTGAGGTCCAGAGTGACTAAGCAACCTGCCAATTACTAAATGGTTTTAGTTCATCTCACAGTGAAGAGCTGGGGCAGGGAGGATGACTTGATATACCTGATATAACCCTCGGGGGGAAAAATCACAAAAATAATGCAGCATGACCTCCTGAGAGTGGGTTAGAAGGACGCCCTCTCCATAGAAAGGATATGCTTGTGTATATCACTCTCGCACTCTGCCTCATCCCTAGAAGCAGCTGATTACGGGTGGAAATGACAGTCCCCTCCCAGGACAGCTTCCCACAGTGGTTGGCTCCCTGGGCACGAACACTGGGACTGGTGAATGGCAGGGTCAGAGCAACAACCGACAAAGGTTCTCACATAGGTAAGGACATGCAGCCATCTTTGTTGCCTTGGTAACAGGACTGCAGGAGCTGGTTCTCCATTAGCTTTCACATCTTACAAGCAGGTGAAAGTTCTGCTTTATGCCGACCCAAACTACTGCCCTGCCTGAAAGAGGTCAGTTCCCTGCAGCAACTCAAAACACCTCTCTCCCTGCAGCTCCCCTGACCTTCCTCCCTTCCCCTCCCCCTCCCCAGTGACAGGGATAGTGCTGTCTTGCCGTGCCCCAGTGGCAGCTCCAGGGCAACTAAACAGGTCAACACCCAGAGTCAGGCTGCTTTGTTCAAAATCTGACTCTGCCATGCTAGCTGTGTAACCTCTCTGAGCTGCGTTTTCTTCATCCATAAAATGGGGATAATTCTCAACCTACTGCAAAGAGTTCCTGCGGGATTAGATGAGATAACCCAGGTAGAGCCCTAGGCACAGTGCCTGGCTCATCGCGAGGGTTCAATCAAACCGAACATTTACTAGTATCACTGTCATTTCTGTCATCACTACCCATGCAATGTCATAAATAGCACAGGCCTCACAGGCCTAAAGCAGTTACTCGAAATAGTCAAACTCAGCGGGTTGAATTCACTCTGTGCTATTATTCACATTAAAACAAATGTTGCTTATTCATAGAAATGGGCAACAGGGACTAAAATCCAAAAATAAATCTTTTTTAAATCTAACATTTGGCCAAAATTTTTAACTGATTTCTACGCCTCTCATTAGCCTGTTCTGTACCTAAATCTAGGTACACAGACTCACACAGTTTTTTCCCCCTTTAACCTGAGATAAAATGGGCTGCTTAGCATGACCTGGGTTACTCTTGCTGTTTCCTTCATTCTTGTCTTCACTCTGGGAGGGAGCTGGAGAAGAAGACCCAACCCAGCCAGGAGGAAGGGCTGATCCACAGACAGGCTCACAGGTCCTCCAGCATCAAGAATCAGCCGCCTGTCATGAAGTCACACGCTCTGACATGAGTCAGAGAAGATAACACAGGCCACAGCTCTCTGTGCCCAAGCACAAAACCGGCATCTGTAGAGGAATGATCACATGGGTGCATGGTGATGGGTGGGAAGTGGCTCCCAAACCTGATGACATGTGGAGGGCCGGCTTAACGTTTGAAGTGTGCAGCTGTGGGTGCAAAGCTGATGGCGTGATTCACAAAACAAACAAAAACCTAATCTAGGTCACTCTTTAATGGGGCCCAGAATCGAGGAGATGTGCGACCCCACTCACTGGCACTTGCAGGAAGGAGACAAAGCGCATGCCTCCTTGTCACCCAAGGTCTAACTCCCTCATTCTTCTACTGTTTCGATACTTGACCAATGTTACTGTTTAGAAGTACTAAGTACAACAATTAAGAGCTCTTCTGAATAAAGGTGCTAAGGAAATAGTCTTCTTAAGAAATAAAAATCACATCTATAAAAAGCAATGGTGATTGTTGTCTTGTCAAAATACCATCTCGATGTTAAAAGCAATATGTACCTCTCCATTTTACTCTATCCAATCCTAGACATTTCCTCTGCCTGGCTTTCTCCTACCTCCTTAATCTGCCACCAATGGATTTCACATAACCCTCCTTACATTTTCTCCTTTGACGCTAAATGTATAAAGAGAACCGCAAAACTGCCATTCTCTAGAGTATTTTCTCAATTCTTTGATATCTTGCTTTTGAGCTTGTTCTCAGTTTGGCTCAAATAAACTCTAAATTTTCAAATAATAAATAAAATAATAATTTTTAAAGCTCTGGTAAGAATTCTGTGACTAAACTGGCTTGTAGCAACAATCCCATAAACAACAAACACAATGGGATTGGAGCATGAGGCTGGAGGCTAGAGGGCAAAGGTCATTGCAGCCCTCTGCACGGCCCTGCACCTTAGTGTTACCTGGAGAGCCTTTGAAAAACACTGATGGACAATGAAAATACCCATGTGATACTACCATGATGGGTGCATGTTATTATATAGATGTCCAAAGCCCTAGAATGGTACAACAGCAAGAGTAAACTATGGTCTTTGAGTGACAACGATGGGTCAGTGTAGGTTTTATCCACTGTAACAAAGGTACCACTCTGGTGCCAGATGTTAATAGCAGGGACAAGAAGTACGTGTGAAATTTCCGAACCTGCTTCTCAATTTTGCTGTGAACCTAAAACTTCTCTTTAAACATTAAGCCTTTAAAAAAATGTCTGAGATCCAACAAGACCAATTAAATCAGAGACATATAGACTAATAGTAGGGCCTGGGCAGCACCATTTTCATTAAGCATCCTGGTAATTCTAATGTACACACAGCACTGAGAACCATGGTGCCTGTGATTTAGGGTCTAGGCATTTATTACTCACTAGAGGCCCGGTGCATGAAAATGCATGCACTGAAGGGATGTCCTTCAGCCCAGCCTGCCCCCTCTCACAGTCTGGGAGCCCTCAGGGGCAAGAGGTGAGCTGGTGATCAAGGCAAGGCGATGCCCCCATCACACCTCTGCTGCTGCCACTGCCGGCAGTGCAAGTCTTGGCCAGCCCTGATTACCTGAGCCTCGGGCGGCACTGGACAGCTGGGCAGCTGCCATCTGAGGCTTGCCTGTGCCTCAGGCCAGCCCTAGGCAGCTGGGGGGGCTGAGGGTGGTTCCGGCCGCACAGTGAGCCTGCCACCTGCTGCCCTCCTCCCCACCCTAGCTGGGCTGAAAGGACTGTGGGACTCCAGTGGGGCTGAGGGGACTGGGCACCGTCATCTTGTGGCTACGGGCACCACCATCTTTGTGATGGTCAATTTGCACATTCCCTCTTTATTAGATTGTATGACTGTCCCCAGCTTTTGGTGCCAAGCAGCACTTTCACCACGCCATTTGATGCTGGTGCCCTTTGGTCACTCTTTCAGTGGGAACATAATTTTTTTAAGTTAATCGTGGTGAGTTATAAATTCTAAGACAATGCACATGTTTTAGACAATGATAAAAGGCTACTCCTATGATCCCAATGTTAATAAGTCAACTAAAATATACCATTTTTATTATTTCCATAAAAGGAATATACTAGAGGCAGGCACAACCTAATATATTTGTATTCCATTTATTTTTTCATGGAGGCACTTAGGCCAATTCAATCACTAGCACCAATGATAAGCTCTGTATTTCTTGAACCAACAGATCCCCCAAAAGATGTTCTGAAATATTACCTACTTTTTTTCTAAGC